GCGTGCGGAGCGCCTGCTCCACGGCCTGCACCTGCCCGCCGGTCAGCTTGGCGAGCAGGGTGTGGCCACGCAGCAGGACGACGGTCGGCACCGCCTCGATGTCGAACGACTCGGAGACGTCCGGCTGCTCCTCCGCCTCGATGGACATGAACAGCACGTGGGGGTACCTAGGCGCCATCTGCGCGACCGCCGCGATCATCGGCTCGCACGGCTGCGCCCACGGCGCCCAGAAGTTGAGCACCGTCACGCGGTTCAGGTCCTCCTGCATCAGGCCAGTAAACATGTCAGGCGACGTGATCGCCACTAGGTTCGCGGGCGCGCCCGCCTCGGCTCCGGTCGGCACGCTCATGCTGCGGTGGGTCGGAGAGCGCGACGAGCGGCCACGTAAGACGCGGCAACCTCCACATGACAGGCCGCACAACGAGCGAGCTACGTGCTATGGTGTAGCCCGACGAAATGACCGCGCGGCGCCTGGGACGGATCCATGCGCCGTGGGTGTCTGTGCGGGCGGCTTTGCTCTTCCCTTTGTAAAAAATTGATGGCAACCATCGACGCCACTAGGCGGTTGGCAACAGAGTGTTGAAAGGGGCCTCTGACGCAGATAGCATGTGCACGATTGCGCCTACACGAGCGGCCCCTATGGACGCCGGCGCCAGCGCCGGTGCCGCGCTACGAGCTGCGAGCCGCGCGGCGGAGGGAGGAAGCAAGAGGCGCCGCCCGAAAAAAAAAAAAGCGTCGTGCAAATTGGGCCAATCAGCGTGGGCCATGCAGCGGACCCGCCGAGCGGCGGCGGCGACGCTGGCATCGATTCCTGTGCGCGACGCAGCACACGAGGTGGGCGGCCAGGTGTGGTGCAGCCCTGATCGATGACCGCGTCCCCCACCAGGGACCCGAGCTCGCATCCGACCGACGACGAGCGCCCCCGCGCGTCGACCTACCTCCTAGACCGCTTCAAGCGGGCACGCACGACCGGCTCCGACACGGACGCCTCGAGCGACGCTGGCTCGAGCACCCTCCGCCCTCCCAGCCGCGAGGGTCCTGACGAAATGGCACCCGCCCGCGACGCGCCCCGCAGCGACGAGAGTGTCGACTCGCTGATGGGCGAGTCGCTCCGCCTCGACGACGCACGCACGCCGGCGGAGACGCTCGCCCGCGAGGTTGAGGCGTGGCGCGCGACGCCACCGCGCCTCGGCGATACGTGGTACGTGGTCCCCGCCGCATGGTACCGCGCATGGACCGAGCACCCCGCGCGCCCGCCGCCCCCCATGGACCTTGCGCCGCTGTGTGCGCCCGGCGGGCAGCTGCGCGCCGGCCTGCTCGAAGGCACCGACTACGAGCTGCTGCCGAAGCCGGCCTTCGACGCGCTCGCGATGCGCTACACGGTGCGCGGACCCACACTCGCGCGGCACGTCGTCCCCGGCGTCGCGCCCGGGCAGAGCCGCATCGAGCTGTACCCACCGCGTGTCGAGCTCGTGCTGTGTGGGGCGCCGCCGCGCGCCGCGTGCACCGCGCTGCCGACCGCGGACCTCTCGGCGGGCGAGACGCTGCGCGCGCTCAAGGCGCGCATCCGCGCGCTCGGCGTGTGCACGGCGGGCGACGACGACCTGCGCCTCCTGCGCCTCCCGCCGCACCTGCGGGCCGCCGCGCTCGCGAGCGGCGGCCGCGTCTCTGTCCCCGTGCTGTGTGCGTCGGACCCCCCCGTCGAGCTCGTGCACGGCAGCGACGCGGCGACGCTCGCGTCGCTGCAGCTGGATGCGCCCACGCTGCTCGTCGGCGTCGACGTGCGTGTCGACGGCGCGTGGCAGTACCCCACGGCGCGCGACGTGCCCGCGCACCGCACACGGAGCACGACGCAGGCGTCCGGCGCGGCGCACGCGCCGCGCGGCCTGCGGGGCCTCGCGAACCTCGGCAACACGTGCTTTATGAACAGCGCGCTGCAGTGCCTCAGCAACACGCCCGAGCTGCGCGAGTACTTTTTGCAGGGCGCGCAGTGGGACGAGCTGAATGCGGAGAACCCCCTCGGCATGGGCGGCGCGCTCGCCGCCGCATACAGCCGCCTCGTGCAGGCGCTGTGGGGGAGCGGGAGCGGCGCCGTCGTCCCGCGCGAGTTCAAGACGGCGCTCGCGCGCTTCGCGCCGCAGTTTATGGGGTACGCGCAGCAGGACACGCAGGAGCTGCTCGCGTTCCTGCTCGATGGGCTGCACGAGGACCTGAACCGGATCCAGAAGAAGCCGTACCTGGAGTCGCCCGACTGGGTCGGCGGCAGCGACGCGGACATGGTGCGCTTCGCGCGCCTGCAGTGGGACATGTACAAGGCGCGCAACGACTCGGTGATCGTCGACCTGTTCCAGGGCCAGTACCGCAGCACACTCGTGTGCCCCGAGTGCGCCAAGGTGTCGATCAAGTTCGACCCGTTCATGTACCTCACGCTGCCCGTGCCCAACACGCGCAAGTGGCGCGGGCGCGTGTATGTGGTGCCCAGCGGCGCGCAGCCGATCGTGCAGGTCGACGTGCAGCTGCCCGCCACGGCCACGATCGCGCAGCTGCGCGAGCGAGTCGGGGCCCTGGTGCACATCGACGCCGCGCACCTGCTCGTGGGCGAGGTGTGGTCGCACCACGTCTACCGCTGGCTCGCGTCGTACGAGCCGGTGCGTGACCTGGGCTCGGACGACACGATCTATCTGTGGGAGGCGCAGGCGCCGGTGGCCCTGCCGCGTGCGCGCAAGCCGAGTGCGTCGCGCTTCTCGTTCTTTGGGCGTGCGGAGCGCACGGTGGAAGACATTGAGCGCGCGTACGATGCACCCGAGGTGCCGGAGCACGTCACGCTGCCTGTCTTCTCGTGCAAGGCCGATGCGCCGGGCCGCTTTGGCTCGTACCGCCGCACGCTCGGCGAGCCGATGGGCATGCCGTTCCTCGTTACGGTGCCGCGCGACAAGATGCACGATGCGGCGTATGTGTATGAGGCCGTGCAGGCCCAGTACGTGCGCTTCGGCACGCTGCCGACGGCCGAGGCGATGCACGCGCGCGCGGCGGCGGCGCGCGACGCGGTGCGCGCCGCAGAGGGCGGCGCCGACGCGGCCGAGGACGGTGCCGACGAGGCGCCGCGGCCGACGGGCCTGTTCGCGCTGCGTGTCGCGGCGCCCAGTGCGGACGAGGCGATGCACCGCGGGGACGATGCGAACGACGGGACGACCGAGGCGCTCGAGGCGCGCATCGCACGCCTCGCGGGCGGCGATGCGTGGCCTGTGCTGTACCCGGGCAGTGCCCTGTATGCGCTGTGGGAGGGCGCGGTGGCCGATGCCGTGCTGCCGGCGGTGCCTGCGAGCCACGTGTGGGGCGCGGTGACGGAGCAGCAGGACCCTGAGTTTGTGCAGGGCACCGCGCAGCTGGCCGCTGGGCGCCGGCGTGCGCCGAGTCTCAGCCTGGACGACTGCCTGAACGAGTTTACGAAGGCGGAGCAGCTGAGCGAGGACGACCTGTGGTACTGCCCGTCATGCAAGGAGTTCCGGCAGGCGACGAAAAAGTTTGACCTGTGGAAGGTGCCGGACATGCTCGTCGTGCACCTCAAGCGCTTCAGCGCGGGGCGTGTCTCGCGCGACAAGCTGGACCACATGATCGACTTTCCGCTCGAGGGACTCGATCTGCGGAGCCGCGTCGTGGGCCGCCAGATGCTCTCGGCGCTGCCGGACGAGGTGCCTGCGTCGCAGACGCGTGTGAACGACGCCGTCAGCGTGGCGCACGATCCGCACGACGACGCCGTCGAGGCCGACCTGCCCGTGTACGACCTGTATGCGGTCGACAACCACTTTGGCGGGCTGGGCGGCGGGCACTACACGGCATTTGCGAAGAACCCTCTGGACGGCCGCTGGTACAACTACGACGACTCGAGCGTGCGCCCGGTGAGCGATCCCGCCACGGTGAAGAGCTCGGCGGCCTACCTGCTGTTCTACCGGCGGCGCACGGCCCGTGCGCTGGGCGGCAAGTCGCGCGAAATCATCGATCGGCTTCAGGCGGCGCAGCATACGCCCATGCCGCCTGCCACGCATAGCGACCCGCTGAGCGCAGCGCCGACACCGGCGGCCTACTCGTCGAGCTCGGACGACGAGGTGTAGCCCGTAGCGCCGGCCGAATTCCACGTGACTAGACCGAGGCGTCAGCGACGCTCGTCGTGTCCGATCCTGCGAGCATGGACCCTGCCCCTGATCCGGCGGACGTCGAGGTGTATGAGATGCCCGATGCAGGAGCAAGTGTAGGGACTACGCAGGGTCATGTGTCTGCAGAAGAGGCGGCCGTGGCGCACGAAGCGAAGGTAGAGGAGAACGACCTCCAGGGTGAGGACGCCGACAATGGCAATGACGCAATCGAAGACGGCGACGTGGATACCTTGGAGGGCGGTCAGAGTGAGGCGGACCAAGAAGGCCCCGAGGAGGTGAAAGGGAATGGTGCAGACGCCGAAGACGCCGCAGGCGATGCCGACGCAGGCGATGCCGACGCAGGCGATGCCGACGCAGGCGATGCCGACGCAGGCGATGCCGACGCAGACAATGCCGATGCAGACGACGCAGAGGCAGACGACGCAGAGGCAGACGACGCAGAGGCAGACGACGCAGAGGCAGACGACGCAGAGGCAGACGACGCAAAGGCAGACGATGCAGAGGCAGACGATGCAGGGGCAGACGATGCAGATGCGGAGAGCGCTGAGGCAGACGACGCAGACGCGGATGACGCAGAGGCAGATGACACAGAGGCAGACGATGCCGACGCAGACGACGCCGATGCAGACGATGCCGATGCAGACGATGCCGATGCAGACGATGCCGACGCAGACGGTGCCGACGCAGAAGACGCGGATGCGGACGGCGCAGATGCAGACGCCGCTGAAGCAGACGCCGCCGACGACAGCTCGTCCCTATCCGACGAGCTCCCGACCGTGCGGCTGACCTTCCAGGGCCAGGACTTTGCCGCATTTCCGGCCGAGGCCCAAGACAGCGGCCCGTTTGTCTATGTGGAAGGCGAGGAAGGGTCCGACGAGCTCGTGCGTGTCTCAGCGCCGGAACTGCGCCTTGCCCCGGCCACATTCTGGGAGCCACTCGATGCGTTTTTCGCGGCCCTGCGTGTCAAGGATGCACTAGGCGAGTTTCTCGAGGATGGCACCGAGCTGTGCTTGTCGTTCCCCGACCTCGAGTTGGACCTCATGGAGGACAATGTATATGCGCGCGACATTACGCTGCACGACATTTCCCAGCTTGCTCTGGGCTTTGGGCACCAGGCGAGCCTGCATGTCGTCGTCTCGGAAGAAGTGCGTTTCATCTCCCGATACAATGAGCTTGCAATGCGCATGAACGGCGCTGCCGACGAGGTCGACGTGAGCGACGCGCAAGACGCCGGGTCCGAGGCAGGGAATGGCGATGAGGGCACAGCCGAGGCGCACGATGCGCGCGCCGACGATGTGGCTCTGCAAGAAGACATGTACGATATGGACGACGATGCTGGCGATCAGCGTCCGTACGACGATGCAGACCATGCCGCCTACGAGGACGAGGCTGATCCGCTGCATGCGCGCGGCAAGCGCACGGCCGACGAGCCAGGCGCCGGCGAGGCGGCCAAGCGCGCCAAGACCGGCCCGGCGGCCTCGTAGCGGTCCGGCACCCGTGCCACCTGCCCGACCCGGCGCGGTAAGTATGTGTGTGACTAACAGGCTGGGGCGGGTCAGCAGCCATCCTTATACCCAGAGCGTCTATGTTGTGTGGACGTCGATCCACCGCACCCACTCGTCCTGCGAGAGGCCTACCTGCTGGGGCTCGGATGCCAGGGCCCGGTAGGCGTCCCACCACACGTCATGGAGGTGCCTGTCAGGATGGCCTACCGGCCGCGCACCCGTGTTCCATGGTTTGCTGTGTGAATATGCGGGACGTACTCCAAGATAAAGTGGATGTTGCGGACCTCACCATCGTCCCATAGGTCCGCGTGGCATCGCCGTAGCGTTTTAAGGGCATTGTAGTACCAGGGCAGCGGCCAGAAGACGCCGTAGAACACGTCGGCTAGCAGGTCCTGGTCAGGGAAGCAGTACCGCCTCACCCGCTCTGGCTCGTCGCGTACATACGCGTGTATTTGCTCCGCCCGCGCGCGATCAGGATCCAGCACCACGAGGCCGCTGTTCAGCCGGTGGTGCGTGTCGCGCGTGAGATGCGCTGGCGCTGGCGGGTGTGGGCGCAGGCTGTACCCGCAGTTTTCCGGCACCCACGTCGCCGGGTACGCCGCGATCTTGTTCGGGTTGCATGTGCATGCGAGGCCCGCGCCAATCGCGTACGGGCCCAGTGAGAGATCCATCAGCTCGTCCATGTTGCGCGTCACGAGCATGTCCGCATCGACAAGCACGACCCGGTCGTATTCATACAGCTCAAAGGCCCGTAGCTTGGTCCATACGTTCACGAAGCGCGTCTGCGCCATCGTATCCTCGTCGACGGCCACGCCCCACGCCGCCACATCACGCAGGACGCACCCCATCTGGGCCAGGATCGACCGCGTCTCGGGCCCCACGCTCTCGGTGACCATGACTACCAGCGGGTATCGCGTTCGGTGGCGCCGGAGACTGTGGAAGAATACGGCCAGACACGGGAGGTACTGCGCATCCGTCAGGAGCGTGGCCCAGCAGCACTGGCGAGCGCTCATAGCGTGCCGCCTAGTCCGTCGATGACGCGGGTGGCCTGGGCTGAGCCACGCAATGTGGAGAAATAGGCCGATTTCTACGTAACATACCGGTCGTCGGACGGCGGCAGCGGCCGACCGTGGGCGTGTACATCTACCTGCTCGTCCAGCCAGCTGCATGTGAGTCACCAGTACGCACTCCCAAAAGGCACGAGCGAACTTGAGCTTGTCTTCGCCCGGCTCAAAGAAGCCCTCGTGGTAGAAGCCCTCAAACGACACGAGGCGCACCGACCGGTCGGACTTTTTCAGGTTCTGGTACAGGCGCTCGCTCATCGCCCACTGCGTCACCTTGTCGCCCGTGCCATGGCAGATCAATAGAGGCAGGCGCTTGGGCCACCGCGTATACTCCTCCTCCACGATCCTGGGCCCCCCGGCCAGCGGGCCCAGCAGACAGCGCACATGCACATGCGTGCTGCTAAGCGGGTCCTGGCGGTTGGCTTCACACAGCTGCTTGTCGCGGCTCAGGTCGTCGGAAAGCGGCCCGAGCGGTAGGTGCAGGCGGGGGAACATGTACAGTGCTGCGCGCAGCACCGGCACTGCGATAGACCGGGGGATCGGGTAGTGAATATCCAGCCACGGAGAGGAGAGCATCGCACCGGACACGAGGCTCTTGACGTCCTCACCAGGCGGCGAGCTGGCATCGCGCGTAAAGAAGCCCGCCACTAGGCCACCGCCCATGCTGTGGCCCAGCAAATAGATGGGAACGACGCCTTCGCCCCACTTCTTGTCGAGACGCGCACGCATCAGCTTCACCATAGAGGCAATATCCGCCATCTGCTCCGGCCACGTCGTCCAGCCGTGGGTCGACACGCGCTCGGGCGACTCATACCATGTGCTACCGAACCCGAACTGGTCAAAGCCCGATACCTGGTAGCCACGCTCCGTAAAGCCCTGAAACACACCCGCATAGCGCTGGCAGTAGTCCGCAAAGCCATGCACAAAGACGATGGCCGCTTTGGGCTGGACCGGCTCGCCGACCGCCGACGTAGGGAACCAGTGGGAGAGGAAGAAGGCTGACTCGTCACCCTCACGAAGCGTATACCATTCCTGTGTCTCTGTCCCGGGATTGGACACGGGGTAGCTCACGCGATAGCGACCCGCCATGACCGCTAGAGACGACACAAGAAGGGGGCCGCCGACGACACACCGTTCGACCACGTGCCACACAGACGCAGACATTTCGCCATTCAGATAAAAGTACACATGCTATGGAAGGGCGATAGCCACAACGCAGGCATACCAGCCCAGGAGAGAGAGAACGCCAAGAACAATTAGCTGCGCTCGCCACGGAGACGGCGGGCAAGGGCAATGTCCTTGGGCTGGATGGTCACACGCTTCGCGTGGATGGCAGCCAGGTTGGTGTCCTCGAACAGCGAGACCAGGTAGGCCTCAGCCGACTCCTGGAGAGCCAGGACGGCCGACGACTGGAAACGCAGGTCAGTCTTGAAGTCCTGAGCAATTTCACGGACGAGACGCTGGAAGGGGAGCTTGCGGATCAGCAGCTCAGTGCTCTTCTGGTAGCGACGGATCTCACGAAGAGCCACGGTACCAGGGCGGTAGCGGTGGGGCTTCTTCACACCGCCGGCCGAGGGGGCCGACTTGCGGGCAGCCTTGGTAGCGAGCTGCTTGCGGGGGGCCTTACCACCGGTCGACTTGCGGGCAGTCTGCTTGGTACGCGCCATGTCTGATAGATAGAGGAGTAGCTAAGGAGCAGCCGCGCACGATTCGTAGTTTTATAATACACCGTGGACGCACGGCGAGCTGGGGCGCGCGCCTTACCAGATCATGCAAGCCCACAGGATCACACGAGCGTGATGCGTGATCCTTCGGCGCGCACCGCGCGAGGCGCGCGCGGCGCTGTGGATCACGCCCATGGGGCAAATCGCATGTGACCATCAGTCCCGATCTCGGCCGGGAGATATGTTCATCAGGCCCGATCCCCGTGACCACGGTGGACGCGTGATCCTGCGCGCCAGATCACGCGGGCGCCGTGCGTGCCATCACCAAGAAGGCACCCTCGTTTAGTCGTGCGTGGATCGAGGCCTCAATACAAATACCTGGCCTAGTACCGCATCTGCTCTTCCAACTTCACTTTACTCTAGAACAATGTCTGGTCGTGGAAAGGGTGGCAAGGGTCTCGGCAAGGGCGGTGCTAAGCGCCACCGCAAGATCTTGCGCGACAACATCCAGGGTATTACCAAGCCCGCTATCCGCCGTCTCGCTCGCCGTGGTGGTGTTAAGCGTATCTCGGGTCTGATCTACGACGAGACCCGTGGTGTCCTCAAGCTCTTCCTGGAGAGCGTCATCCGTGACTCGGTCACCTACACTGAGCACGCCAAGCGCAAGACCGTCACCTCGCTCGACGTCATCTACGCGCTTAAGCGCCAGGGCCGTACCCTTTACGGTTTCGGTGCATAAATGTGGCCGAATTTTATATTCCTATTGTCTGTACTATTATATCATGCAATGTCATAGCGATCTAAACTGGCGTTGATGCTCTCCTTATCTGTGGTGCTCGTGTGTGTCGCCTTGCTGCGTAGCTGCGTCTCTGTGGCGCTGGGCCTGTCTCGGTGCCTCCTGTATGCATGTGTATTCGGCCGAGTCGGACCGGCAACTAGTGCGGGGCACCGGCATGACGACAGACCTTCTATCCATCATGAGCTTCGCTACCCAGTCCGGCAAGGCCCAGCTCCTTGAGAAGCATGACAACGACGTCGTTATCTGCGGTGCTTACCGCTCGCCTGTGACGCGTGCCAAGAAGGGCGGTCTGGCGCAGGCGGCGCCTGAGGAGGTCCTGGGTCTTGTACTCAAGGGCCTGCTCGCCAAGACGGGCGTGGATGTGTCCAAGATCGAGGACGTGGCAGTGGGCAATGTCCTTCCCCCTGGTGGTGGTGCCACGGGTGCGCGCCAGGCGGCGCTCTGGGCCGGCATCCCCAACACGGCCTCGGTCAACACCGTCAACCGACAGTGCTCTTCGGGTCTGGCCTCGGTGAACCAGATTGCCAACGAGATTATCACTGGCCAGATTGACGTCGGTATCGGCGCGGGTGTGGAGTCGATGACTCTGAACTACGGTGCCGGTGTGATGCCTCTGAAGATGTCAGATGAGATCATGAACAACTCGGAGGCGGCCGACTGCATGCTCCCTATGGGTATTACGTCGGAGAACGTGGCCAAGAAGTACAACGTCACCCGCCAGAAGCAAGACGCTTTTGCGGCCGAGTCGTTCAAGCGCGCCGCGGAGGCCCAGGCCGCGGGCAAGTTCAAGGATGAGATCATTCCGATCAAGTACGTCGACGATGACGGCAACGAGCGCACCGTGTCCGAGGACGATGGTATCCGCAAGGGCGTTACGGCCGAGTCGCTGGGCAAGCTTAAGCCGGCTTTCTCTGCCGACGGCTGCACGCACGCCGGTAACGCCTCGCAAGTGAGTGACGGCGCGGCTGCTGTGCTCCTCGCTCGCCGCAGCGTCGCCAAGAAGCTCGGTCTGCCTGTCGTTGCCAAGTTCTGCGGCGGTGTCACCGTGGGTGTGCCCCCCAACATTATGGGTGTGGGTCCCGCCTACGCGATTCCCAGGCTCCTTGAGAAGGCGAAGATCTCGAAGGACGACGTTGACATTTACGAGATCAACGAGGCCTTTGCATCGCAGGCTCTCTTCTCGGTGGAACACCTTGGTCTTGACCTTGCGAAGGTCAACCCTGTGGGTGGCGCTATTGCTCTGGGCCACCCCCTGGGTGCTACCGGCTCGCGCCAAATTGCCACGGCGCTGAGCGAGGCCAAGCGCTCGGGTGCCAAGTTCGTTGTCACCTCCATGTGCATCGGTACCGGTATGGGTATGGCTGCTCTCATCGTCAACGAGCAGTAAGCACTATGGTAGGATTCCCCGTAGCCATCGAATCTATCACCTGCACTGGTGGTAAGCTGCACTCCTTGTCAAGCGCCGAGGCGCTGACCCGCATTCTCCGGGCTGGTGCAAATGCGCCCTATTATGTCCATTCGCTTGATTTGCCAACGCAGGGCCCTCCACTCTTGCACCCGCACGCGGAACCGTGCACGTGCGCCTGTGGTGCTGGAGACGAGAGCCGAGCAACGACGTGTGAGACTTCTTTGCTTAACAGCCCGCGGCGTCGATCGGCAAGGCCATTTGCATCGCAGCGTCGCTTGGCACAGCCCACTGGCACATAAAATCCCTACAAGAGCTGCTTATCAGCTTCATACCTCCCTGGGACCGCGGTATATTCCTGGTTTACACTGTGATTGTGTCGCGCTGAGCGTGGAAACTATACGATTGCCGCCATCCCGGAGTGCGACCCCCACTAACACATGGAAAGCGCACGACCATTTTCACCTAGCTCCACTGCACAGGAGGCGGACCACCGCCCTAGCAGACCAGACACATCGTCTGATATGTCTAGCACATCCCCTGCTAATTCTGCCTCCCACGACACTCGCCTCAAGGCAGACGTCCCCGACGACGAGCGAGCACGTTCAAGCTCCCCCCGTGCCAAATCTCCCCACCTTGACATTGCTAATTTTCCATCTGTGGAGCTCCTGCGGATACTAGCGGCGTTGCTCCAGCATATTGCTACCTCCAATGACCAGCTGAGACCCCTAAGCCATGAGGCGGTCCAAGAGCGCGCACAACACCAACAGGAACAAAGTTCCATACCTTCCTTTATGTACCTTCCCTTGAACGACCCGAACCGACCCACGACCACCACAGCGGCCCTCGCTACACTTAATACACCGAGCAGCACGTTGTGCTTTCACGCAAGGCACATCCCAAGCATCAGTATCGAGGCATACTTGCTCCGCATCTTGAAATACTGCCCTACGACCAATGACGTCTTTCTCAGTCTCTTGGTGTACTTTGATCGGCTGAGCCGCGTAGGAGCACTAGGTCATTTCCCTGGCGAACCTCCACTGGGTTCCTACGATGCACCTAACGGTGCTTCCATGAACCAAGGAGCCCTGTCGCCTATATCTACGCCGTGGTCAAGCAACTATGCCGTCTCTCGAGGAACACCTTCAGAAACAAACGAACCGGCACCACAGGGACACGGTTTCCCGGGCATCAGTGGCTTTGCGATTGACAGTTACAATGTCCATCGATTAGTTATCGCAGGGATCACTGTTGCCAGCAAATTCCTCAGCGATGTCTTTTACACCAACGCAAGATACGCCAAGGTCGGGGGTCTCGCCGTGCACGAACTTAATCAACTGGAGCTCCATTTCCTTCTTCTGACTGACTTTCGACTAACCATTCCACTGTCTGAAATCCAGCAATACGGAGACCAGTTATTGGCATATGCCCAGGAACGGACTATCAGTGCCAACGTGCCCCGTCCTCTACCCGATGCAAATGACGATGCCAACAAAGATCATTAATAATTTCCGGGCTTTTCCAGAGCAAGACTGCCCATGCCCTTCCACATGTGATTGCAGTTGCCTACGCAATTGTGAACTATACCCGCAATGCCAACTTTCACGTTACAGAGAGTCGTCCAGGGAATCATATGAAGCGTTCCATGCGGCGAGAATTATTAGCGCGTTGCTATTGGTAAAATATCAGGAACAAGGACGTCTTGTGATGCGCACGACGTGCACTGCGTTCGCGGACGACGATCCACGTGAATTAGTTTGACTCTTTTCCGCATATGCGTTGAACCTGAATTTGCACAGCGCTTGCCGAGCTAACTGTGACACTCCGGGTTGGAGCCACACACCTCCAATTTTGCATCGCCTCGGCATGCAAAGTTTGACAGATTATTCCTAGCTCCATTCTGATTCGCTAGAATCCATGCTTCCCACCCCGTGTACCTGCAGCACTCCTTAGACAACCTCCTTTGTATGAAACCTGCATCATACATCACTCTACTGTCTGCGACGCAACCAAATCTGTCACAGTTAGGTCACCGTACTCATGTTTTTTAAACGCAGTACCATTTCCGCATCTGCGTCGATGTCTCTTGTTCCTTAAACCATCCCGACACCGCGGTCATGGCCTTGATTCCAGAGTACGCGGGGGAAAACGAAGCATGCTGGGAACCTTCTAATGCGAACTTGGAAGCACCTGCTATCGTGTGCAATCCTCCCACATCTCCCATGTCGCGTGAGACGGAAGGAAATGGCACCTCCAACGTACCCGAGAACATCATTTTTGCTCCTTCATTAGCATGTATCGATGATCCAAGTTTACGCTGGCCTACGGAACCCAACCAAGAGACGGAGCGTAGCACCCCTTCGCCAGCTTCTTTCCCATTGACATCTATTCAAAATCACTATGTGTCTGAGAATTCCGAGACATACTTACCCTTTTGCGCTGGGCGGCCAGAGCAGGGGAGGCCGACCGTCGGAATGTCCACACCTGTTTTTTCTCCCCAAGATGTCCCGGTCTTGACTCATTCGCCATCTCCTGACTCCCCATCAGGCCGCTCACCCTCGACCCGCTCACGGAAAACGTCACCGGGCCACGTCAAGCGACCCTGCAATGCATTTATCCTGTTCCGCTCGCACGCGGTCACTACCAACTTGATACCAAAGGAAATCGAACGGGATCATCGCAATATCAGCCGGATCATCTCGCACATGTGGCACAGTCTGGATGACAATGAACGCAAACTTTGGGAAAGACAGGCCGAGATCGAGAAGCAGCGTCATCGTGAACTGCATCCTGACTACAAATACAGGCCTTCATCCAGGCGCAACAATGTTCTCCGTCGTACTGCTCGACGCCTCTCCAGCACTGAGCGACAATGTGAACGTATTGCCGACGCCATTTTAAAGTCTTGTGGAAGAGAAGGAGTCAAGCGGTCACGTCCTGGGAGGCAGCCAACCCAGAAACATTTTGCCGATCACCCATCCTGTTCGCCATGCGCAATACCTGAGCATCGAGACACGAAGATTTCATCCCCTAATGGATCTCCTTTCATGACTTTGTCCACCTCAGAACCTTCTCAATCCTGCGTGTCTTCACCATCCCCCACTCACGTAACGAACTCCATAATTCCAGACGCCAAACCGCGCCAGGCATTACCTATCCGACGGTCATCTTCTGCGCCACCACTTTCAAACGGACTTGATACATTTTGCGGGTCCCCGACGCCGACATGGCCTGCTGCCACAGGTGAAAACCTGCCTTGGCTGCTAGGATCCCCCCTAGTCTGCCCCCTATCTCCGAAGTCCCACCGAAGCCAATTGCCTGAATCATCCCAGACCACGACGTGCCCAGGCCCCACTACGACTCACGGACACGATTTGGAGTGTCAACCAAACGATGTGTTGATTCCTACTGATGAATTATTGACCTTTCCACCTCCCCACTTTGACGAACCTTTCTATCTTGGCCCCAGTGCTTTACCAGTGCAGACAGTTCCACCAGGTCCTGGGATGCTGCCTGCTTTCATGCCACCTATCTCTCCTCGAACGCAGGATGCTAGTTTCGACTCTCTGGCATGGGGAAATTTGTTGTCTCAGACGCAGACACAACCTTCCGTCCAGCCAGTCGTCTCTCTTACTCCTTCGATCCCAGGAGGAGGTCTATTGGATTCTTCTTATCCTTGGATCGGGGGCGAAGGAAGTTTGGGATTGCCTGAGTCCAAGTCTTTTGAACTCAGGGGCGAAGAGTGCATCCAGAATGACATGCCGTCTTTCCTTGAGCTAATTCACGGTTCAAGCACTGTGTAATTGCGCATTCCCTCAAATATACATTTATAGGCAATGATTATTCTCTACAGATGGTTCGCGTCTCGTATCCCAACCTCTATCTCCCGCTTGAAAGCTGCGTACGGTCTTGAGCCTGTTTTAAGCTTTCTGCGTCCCATGGATAAAGTTTATGTTGCGAACTGCTCATTGGTCTCTGACTGGCACCAACTCAGAGCCAGAATCAAGTTTTATTCGTCCTTGTGGCACGACTGGGGCACGTATGTGCCGTGTCGCGCCCACGTTGGGGCTAGGTTTTACGGGGTATGACCGACGGCGGCTGTCGCGTCCGCATCTCCACATTCCTAAGCATCCCGCCATTTGCGCGCCCGGCACGCGTAAATCGGCCGACCTCAAAAAATAATTTGTCCAAACTCTCTGTGATGCGCGTGATGCTGCCCCACTTTTCTGTCCGCGGAACTTCGACGCAAGCCTCGTGCATAAGGCTCGCATAGATGCGTAATTGAACACAAAAAACCCGGTTTGATTCGCTCACATATTGCTGAGTAGATGTCTCCTCGCAGCAATCAGCTAGGGAAGACGCAGGGCATTCTCGCGTAGATGATGCTCCGATGCGCCGAGGCAAAAGCGCGTGCTACTGGTGTTTATTTAAAAGGACGGATCCCATCGAAGTTCGTTTCTTCATCCCAAACGACTACGATCCACGTAGTTTAGGGTCGTCTTTCTTACCTTTCACACTCTTTTGTCGATTGGCTACATTATGTACACGGCTAGCCTTCTTCGCTGGCTGGCTCTTGCGGTGCTCGCTATGGTGCCGCTTGTTAGCGCTCTTGGCCTGGTCCCGTACCCCGACCAGGACCCCTTCTACTACCCTCCCGATGGTTGGCAGAACAAGGCTCCTGGTGACATCTTGCGCTCGCGTAAGATTCAGGCTGCCTCGGTTGGTATTCTGAAGTTCAACATCGATGCCTGGCAACTGCTCTACCGCACGAACACTATCAACCGGAGCACGCCCTCTTACACGGTGACTACTGTCCTGGTGCCGCAAAACGCCGACCACAGTCGTGTTCTTACCATGTCGTCTCCTCAGAACTCCAACTACATCCGCTGCGCCCCCAGTTACGCTTTCCGTCACTCCGGTGTGCTCGAGATTGCTAACTTCGAGCCCCGTTGGGAGCAGATGATTTACACTGTCTTCCTTGAAGAAGGCTGGATTGTCAATGCTCCTGACCACGAGGGTCCTGGCTCGCTCTTCTCTGCTGGTCGCGCCGGTGGTCACGCCGTCCTTGACTCGATGCGTGCCGTTACGCGCTACGGTCCTCTGAATGTTCCCAAGAATGCTAAGTTCATTGGTCACGGTTACTCGGGTGGTTCGATTCCGAACGGCTGGGCCGCTGGTCTTCACAAGGTTTATGCCGGCGAGCTGAACGTTGCGGGCTGGACGCTTGGTGGTGTTGCCTCGGACCCTCGTATGACCTTCCAATACTTGGATGGTACGCCCACTTCTGCACTGGTTCTGGGTGGTGCCGTTGGTCTCATGGATGCCTACAAGGACCAGCTGTATGACCTGTTCATGAACGATGTGTTCACCGACGAGGGCAAGGACGCTATTAATGTGATCCGTCACGTCTGTGTGTACGAGGCTGTGATTCGCTTCTTCGGCACGCAGTTCCAGAGCCCCAAGTACGTTAAGGGCGGTCGCAACATTACCGACATTCCCCAGGCTGTGAAGGTTATGACGGAGAACACTATGGGCCAGTACCCCAAGTACACTCCTATTGCTCCTGTGTTCATGTTCCAGGCTACTCACGACGAGGAGATTGTCTGGTACCAAGCGAACACCACTGCCGTCAACTGGTGCCGCTACGGTGCGAACATTCGTTTCCTGTCGTACACTTCGGCTGAGCTGAACCATGTGATGACGTACCTGTCGAACGTTCCCTACCTTCTGTTCTTTATGCGTGACCGCTTCGATGGCAAGCCTTACTACAACGGTGGCTGCCAGTTTGATGCCGAGCCGAACAACCCTTCGTGGGATGCGAACATTCTTGGCGAGCGCTTCCGTGAGGCTCTTCTGGCCATCGAGGACCTTCTTGGTAAGGAAATTGGTCCCAAGGACAAGATTCTGCGCCAGAAGCTCAAGGACGGCAAGAACCCCAACAAGGACGGTCTGACGAAGCTGAATGGTATGCAGCGCACGACGGTCACTCCTGGTGAGGGTGGTGACAAGTCGAAGGAGTCGAAGAAGGCTTCGTCTAAGTTTGCTCAGCTTAAGAAGGAGGGCAAGGCTCAGAACTCTACCCACAGTGGTAACTAAATTTTTCTCTGTCTTCTGCGCGAGTGTTTCAATTTTTTGCTTGCGTAGGTTCTCAGAGGTCCGTGATGGCTATGCACTGGCTGCAGGCTTTCTAGGGGGATCTTATAGAGTTAGTCTTCAGTTAGTATAGGAATGCGTTTACATGATTATCTATGGATTCGAATGCTTGGTTATGCCGGGAATGGGTGCGTGATGGCATAAACTAGCCACCTTCACGTTTCCTGACTTAAATGTTTGCCTTATCACTATGGCCACGCTCGCTATTAGAACATCATATCTAGTGGTTAGTAGACAATAATGACTGCGTACCAAGGCAAAGCTCTTCCAAGCAGCAGCAAGCCAGCATCGCCATAAGACACGCACAGCATCCGGTTGCGGCATCGCCACCACCACCGCCTTGAGGGCGTTGGATGTATACCTGCTATGTCAGCTCACCGTATTAGCTCGTACAGGCTGTTGCTGCTGGGGACCGGGGTAGTAACCGCCTGGCTGACCACCGTAGGCTTGTTGAGGCGGAGGAGGCTAGACATTAGCTCATTCGCAAAGGTCACGTACATAGTAGCCACCTTGGGGCGGGTAGCCACCCTGTGGGGCGTACCCGCCCTGAGGGGGGTACCCTCCCTGCGCACCAGGAGGGGGGCCCGGCGGAGGCGCATAGTTACCACCTCCGCCACCGTTGTAGTAATCCTTAGCCGACATCGTTCCTACAGCAAAACATGCGGTGTGGTGCCGACGCCGGTTGACACCGCGGCGTGTCCAGGCATGCGTCTGAAGCCTAATAGGCCAATCATGACTAAAAGTCCGTGACGGTGGCGTGCACTGCAACGCTCCAAGCTGCACGGGCGTGCTGTGCTCGAGCCCGCGAGTGAATCGATACATCATGAAGCAGCGTACGAGCCAGAATGAGCGACCACCACCTTCGAGATACCAGCATCCTGATCCACTGCTTAGGCGGCTGCGCCTTATAGACGGCCATGGCCTACCTGTGGATTTGAAGTCGACGTTCCGAGAAACCCAACTAGTTGTGTTCTACTTTGGCAGTCAATGGAATGCATCTGAAGCGAAGGGATGTCAGAAGGTATGTGCATGCAGACTAAGAACGCAGCTGGTGTCTCGGCTATGCCGGACGTATCCCCATGAGCTCAAGGTGCGATGGCCTCTCTAACCTCAGACGATATATGTGAGTGTCGACTCAGACATCAAACTGTATGAAGCTGCTACACGCAATAAGGTCCGTTACTGTACAATCTGACATCTAGCCATGGCTTTCTATGGAGTGGAACGATGGATCGTCCGTGGACCCCGCCACACTCTCTGAGGACACGGACGACGACGACGACATGGACCAAGACAGACCCGAGCCCTTTCTACTGGCCGGCGACGATGATACGGACAAGGCAACTGTCGAGAGCGACACACAAGGAAACTCGTACGTTCTCCCATTCAGCCGCGTCTACATGGCCGACCTTTTCGACATTGTCATGACGCCGCATTTGGTCGTTTACCATATTCCTTCGCGCACCTTGCTCGACAAACGTGTGCGTCTTTCGCGACTTCGCTCCTCTCAGCTCGAAGCCACTGTGGAAACTTGGCTGAAGGGCGAGCCATCCGCATCCTTCAACATCATGGACATGTTCTACATTTCCCCATGGACCTTTATCATGGTCATCCTGGCTCTGGTTTACTTTTTGTTGGTGCTCATCGGAGGTGAGCAATACGATATCCAGCACATCATGGCTAGATTCTCCTAGGTCCGGTAATCTCCGTTGATCTGTGGGTAAACATAGACAACATACTGCAATGTACTCTTTGCTAAAATCGCAGGTCCAGAATACGGCCTCGGCACAAGCACCCTCCTTCCACGAACCGCCTTGCAAATCCATGTCGATATAGATATCTTCTTGGGCTAGCAGTTCAGCCGCCTTGACCTCATCGACGTGCTGCGGTACACCATTCTTTAACGTGTGGATCGGCGACAGACCGCTGGCATTCGGAGGCGGAACAAAAGAGACATTTACCTTGGTCGGGTCCAGCGACCATGCAGGTGACGATGAAGGTACTGCCGCATAGCCTGCTGCACATAGAATCCGGCCCCAGTTAGCATCTTCGCCGTGCATAGCACATTTGACAAGCGCGGAGGTACTGATGGACGAGGCAATGGCGTGCGCCTGTTCGTAGGTCCCTGCATTCTTCACATGCACTTGTACAAACTTCTCTGCACCTTCACCGTCGCGTACGATCAAGTGCGCCATTTCGATCGACATTGCCTTGAGTTCCTCCGCAAAAATGTTTACCAGCTCGGGGTGCGTTCTTTCACTGATTTCCCCTTCGACCGGCGATCCGGTGCCTATCACAGGGGCCTGACCATTTGCCAGCGCCAAGATCGTGTCATTTGTACTCATGTCTCCATCGACACTGATACAATTGAACGACTCCCGCACCGCCTCCTCCAAGCAGCGCTGCAGCGTCGGCGTTGCCACTGGAGCATCCGTGACAAACATCCCCAGCAGCGTGGCATGCAGGCCTCCTGGGCTTGTCATGTAAGGGTGAATCATACCAGCACCCTTGTCAATAGCCGCCATACTGCACAGCCGGTTGCCCAACTTGAACTGGCGCGTGCGCAGCTTGGGGAACGTATCGGTCGTCATGAAGGCCCGCGCCATCTCGAGCCAAGCCTCTGGGTTGCTCTGCAGCACATGGCCCCTCATCAAGTGCTGTATCCCCCGGAGCATCTGGGGCAGCGGCAGGCGCACCCCGATAACGCCCGTCGACATCATCAGTACATCACTGGCGGTGTCTGGGCCATTGTGCTTACCAGCGGGAAGGAGCTTTTGCAACTCTTTGACCAGTGTCTCTGTATCTTCGTAGCCACCTTGTCCCGTCACAGCATTCGCACACCCACTATTCACAAGCACGGCCCGTGCCCGGGCATGGGGTCCTTGCGCTTGCAGGGCCCTGGTGGCATGCACCACAGGCGCGGCTTGAAACTTGTTTGAAGTAAACGTGCCTGCCACAGAGGCTGGCGTGCTGGATACGAGAAGCGTCAGGTCAGGCTTTGGTGCGTGCTGCGGCGCTGCATCCGTGGCGGGCGCCGGGCTGATGGCCTTCTTAATACCTGCATAGGTCGTTGCCACTAGATAGCCGCGAGGGAGCGTGCTGCGGTCTACAGGCACGACAAAGCGATCCGCCTTGTTCATGGTCGAATGCATCCGCTTCTGCAGGCTCGGCATCAGAGCCAACTCTGCGGCGCTCCAACGCGCCAGTCTCGCACACATTCTGGAGGTCTGGAAGCCTAATCCCAACTGGAGTCATCTATGGCACGTGGCCCCATTCCCTATTACAAAGACCTATTCATCATGCCCAGCGGCCGAGGAGTGCCATGATACCGGCACCCAAGCACACCTCGAAAATGCTGATGGCCACTTTCCACATTGGTGCCTTGTGCATCTTTTGGTTGAAAACAAAGTCGTGGGCAAGGAGCTCCACAAGACCCGTATAGATAAGAATACCCGCCGAGACAGCATCAAAGACGCCCGTGACATAGTAGCCAGTGGGCGTATCGGTCGTGTACGTGTGGCGCACACCCAGGCCGATAGCCATACCAATTGGCGTGCAAATTGAGTAGCCCATAGCCAACAAGCAGGGCCAGAGAGTGCCCATTTGCGCGGGAAGGAACGCCAAACGCGAGCCAAGACCCAAGCCTTCAAACAGCTGGTGGAATACAATGACTGGGTACAACACCACAAACTCGTCATCCTCGCCGTGGTACTCGCTCGTCGCCAGCGTCAAACCGATAATCACCGAGTGGAAGACCACACCTAGTTCAAGCACCATAACACCGACAACCTCGGAGGCCACGGACGCGTCCTTCGAGAAACCAGAGTCGGGCTTGTTGGCCTCGACGTCGTTCTGCAGCTTGATATCGTCCCTAATAACCTCGTCTTCAGAGTAGGTGACGTCGGCAGCAATTGTCTCCTGGGGCATACTAGCATCACCGTGACCCGCAGCGTGGTGGTGTCCGTGAGTGTCAATGCCATGCTTCTTCAAGTACAAAGTGCCCAGACGGTATGCGAAGAATTCGACAATGAACAGCAGCATCATGGAAATTAGAGCAAACCCATAGGCCATAGGATAATTCTGGAACGCATCGCCCAAGCAAGGCTGACTTAGTTCATCTGCTGCCGGCTCAAGTAAATGAATAAAGGCCGTGGCGATAATGACACCACTACCAAAGTATTTGGCAAAATCGTAAATGAACTGCGGGATAGTCAGCCGCGGGATACGCTTCGTCACAATAGGGAACAGCGTGAATAGCGACGTCGTTACCAATATAACAAAAATGGCGCCGATACGAACGCCCATGTTATCCACGTCATTGACGGCACCAACGCAAACATCCTCGTCATCTGCCATCTTGATGTTATAGGTACAAATACAAGCTTGATTTTTAGGAAGAATATATACTTGTGTGAACACACAAGACTACTGCGAGGGTAATGGGGAGGGGTGAGCGACAAGTACCTTGGCACGCCGCTCACACAGGCACTACGTATCGATTCTTGAGGCCGATGCGGTACTCAATGGCGGATCCCCGTTTCCATAGGAATTCAGTTCGATCTGTGCAAAGTGATTCGCTCGTTCTTGCTTAGTTCGCGCGTACCGTCAGCCATTCATAATCTGTCTCAAATTTTTTAAGAATTTCCTGCGATCTGTTGGGCGAGAAATCGGGCCCAGGTTTGAGTACCACATGGCACAGGCAGCTCCACATCTGTGCCTAGTTTCCAAGCCGTCGCACGAGCTCTCCATGGATCCATCGGACACGGACCACGTCCGTGTCGATGATCGCTCACAATCTCATTCTTATGATGACCATGATGGAAAATCGTCGTCGATAAAAAAACACCATCACTCACGTAGGGAGTCTGATCCCCACCGTGATCGAGACCGGCAATATCGTCACGACCACGACGGCCATCGGCATCGACACCATCACAGACACTCTGACCGTGAACGAAGAGGGCATTCACATCATCGACACAAGTATTATCGAGACGAGGAGAAGCAAGAACATGGATCTCGAGCAGATGACTCATCACCTGCGCTCCAGCGTGACAGCTGGATGATCTCGGGCGCCGACGACAGGGATCTATTTAGCGCTATGGGGCAGAGTGTCAAGAAATCCCAGGATCAGAAGCGGTCCAACCCCGCCGAACCTGAGATCAGCTCCCGGGAACTCAATCCTTCATTAGCACCTCGGCCTCATCAGGCGCCACAGGAGGATCAGCGTCCCAAGAGCCAGCCTCCGTATGGCGGCCCGGGTTACAAGTGGCGACTCATGAAGCTTCAAAGAACGTATGAAATGGCTGAGCAGAGAGGTGTCCCGGTTGAGGAAGTGGCTATGGAACGCTATGGCAGCATGGATGCGTTTGATGAAGCACGTTTGGAGCGTCAGTTTGTGGAAGATCGCGATGGCTCACTGGAACGCTCCAGACGCACGTCCATGCACTCTCGGGCAGGCTTTCGTCGGCCTGGTGCTCCGCCTTCCGCACCATCTTCCACGCCCGCCACGTCTCGCTCGTCCACGTCTGCCCCATCGTCATCATCGCCAAAAGGCCCATCTATTCCTCGTGTTCTTCCGACACAAACGGGTCCGGTATCCGCTTCTCCGGCTCCAATGAGTGTGGATGCCTTGAATAAGCTGGAGGCCAGTGTCTTGCGGGCCGAGCTGATGGGACGTCCTGACGCTGCGCAGCTGCGGGCTGAATGGGAGGCTGCACGTGCCGGTCAGGGTGACATGTCTTCGGAGCGTGTGGAAGCGGTACCCGTTTTGGATGGATTTGGGCGCCTCTACGATATTGGTTCTTCGTCTAGTTCCCGCGACCCTAGTGCGGACAAGGAGCGGCCCTCCAAGCGCTCCAAACATGAAGATGACGGATCTGAGGCGTTGTCCGAGCTAGTTCGTCAGGAGAAGTTTTCCGCAGGGCGGGCTGACCAAAAAGACGCTGATGCGATGCTGGCCCATCAAATCATGGCCGATCAAGGCTTCGAAAATGATCTCGATTACATGGATGAGGAGGCGAAACGATTCGCTCGTCGCCGCATGCGCGACGACGCGCTGAAGCGCCAATTTGCTGTCCAAGGTGTGTATTCTCCACTAACCCAGACTTTGCGCGCACGAAACGGGCCTTGGATGAGTGTCCCTTTTGCTGGCAGGATGATGGTGCAACACCACCCAGTGCGAATATTGTATCGAGTGGGACGTGCGTCTACTTGGCACTACCAGATCGAGAGCCGCTGGTGGAGGGGCACTGTTGGATTGTTCCGATGCAGCACCATGTGAGTTCGCTGGATGTGGATGAGGATGGATGGACGGAGATCCGCGTACGTGCCTGATTCTGACCGCAGAATTTCATGAAGTGCCTGATTCGCATGGCAGCCGCCCGGCAGCAATCGGTGGTATTTTTCGAGACGGTTCTCTCTCTGCGCCAGCAGAAGCATACCTATCTGGAGGCGATACCCCTTCCCAATGATGTTTTCCCCCAGGTACCCGCGTACTTCCACCAGGCCCTGTCCGAAGTGGAGTCCGAGTGGGCGGACCACACTCAAGTGATTGAGTTCTCAGAGGCGCGGCCGTTCCAGCGCAGTATGGTGTCGCGTCTCCCCTACTTTATGATCCAATGGGACTACAAAGGGCAGCGTGGCTATGGGCATGTGATCGAGTCTTTGCAAGGGCAGTATACAGGCCGGCCCGCAGGACCTCAGACAGACGAGCCAACCTTTGAGGATGGCGACCACGTGGGTGGACATGGCTTTCCCAAGTGTGTATTTTCTACGACGCTGACATGGCAGGCACTTTGCACATGAGATCATCGGTAACATTCTCGATCTTGAGCCCTTCCGATGGCGGCGCCCTCGCCATGTGACGGGCATGGCGCAGCAGCTCGAGGCGTTCCGTGCGGTGTGGGGGCCCTACGACTGGACGCGCGAGCTGGCGCCGTAGGTGCACGGACCATTTCACGTGACATGTTCCCATAGCGATTCAAAACTGCAATCGTCGGCCGAACCCCGACGTCCCTGGCCGGCCACGTTTTCTTCGGGCGCTCGCGCTGGATCTTGCAACCAGTCCTCTCACCTTTGCGTCTACTACAGCCATGGTTCGCGGACCGAAGCACCACCTGAAGCACCTTGCTGCCCCTAGCTCGTGGATGCTGGACAAGGTATGTGCGCATTTCATCAGGAGACACTAACCATACAGCTGTCCGGCACCTACGCCCCGCGCCCGAGCACCGGTCCTCACAAGCTCCGTGAGGCTCTTCCTCTGGTGGTATGTACCGATGCCCGGTGGCGGTACGCCTCACCGAACGATGATCCCCAAACTACATGCATGGCTTTCCGATGCCTTTAGGCGTGTGGACAACCTTTGTTAGGCGTCTGACGTTCTGGGAGCGACCGGCCACGGGCTACTGAGCAGGCATACTAACTCGACAGATTCTGCTGCGCAACCGCTTGAAGTACGCCCTCACTGGCCGTGAGGTGCAGTCCATCACGATGCAGCGCATCATCAAGGTCGACAACAAGATCCGTACGGACCCGACCTACCCGACCGGCTTCCAGGACGTCGTGTCGATTGACAAGTCGGGCGAGCACTTCCGCATCCTCTACGATGTGAAGGGCCGCTTCGTTGTGCACCGCATCACCGCTGAGGAGGCTCAGTACAAGCTGCTGAAGGTGAAGCGCGTCCAGCTGGGTGCCAAGGGCGTGCCGCAGATCGTGACCCACGACGGCCGCACTCTCCGTTACCCCGACCCGCTCGTGCGCGTCAATGACACCGTCAAGTATGACCTGGTGAACCAGAAGATGGTCGACTTTATCAAGTTCGACACCGGCGCGCAGGTCATGGTGACGGGTGGCCGCAACATTGGCCGTGCTGGCCAGCTGATCCACGTGGAGCGTCACCACGGTGGCTTTGACATTGTGCACATCCGCGACCCTGCCGGCCGTGAGTTCTCGACGCGTCTCAGCAACATTTTCGTCATTGGCGACAGCGAGAAGCGCTGGATCTCGATGCCCCGTGGCGGTGGTGTCAAGCTTACCATCACTGAGGAGCGTGACCTGCGCCGCAAGCAGCGCGAGGAGTAAGTCGCATGATGCGGCGTGCTCTCCGGCAGGTCTCTCTGCTACGTTCATGCCGTGCCTGTCTCTGCGGGGCTGGCACGGCATCTATAGTGTAGGGCCTACGCGTGTAGGCCCCCGCGTTTGGACTCTGTGTACGGCTCTCCCTTAGTCCAACAAAAACCATCGATGGCTTCTTTTCCTCGTAGTGTGGCGTTGCGGGCGTCGCGTATGTTTGGGGCACGTGGAGGTGGGCGAGGTGCGTGTTTTCCTTGCCACGTACCCACACGCTCTGCTGCCTGCCGGCCATGAGTGAGGACACCAAGTCGTCGCAGCCTGCGAACATCAGCCGTGATGGCGAGAAGATTGCGGTACGTAGCTGTGTACGTGCTGATGCGCACAGGATATGGAGTATTATGAGCTCCTCCAAGTGCGGGGTGACGCCACGGAGCTTGAACTCAAGAAAGCGTACCGCAAGGCGGCCATCCGCAACCACCCCGACAAGGGTGGCGACGAGGAGACGTACGTATGGCACACTGACGCCAGCTTCAAGCTGATTGGTGAGGCATACCGTGTCCTGAGCGACTCGAATCTTCGAGCCGACTATGACCGCTACGGCAAGAAGTATGTTGTGCATGGCTTACCGATAGGAAACCGACCGAGGAGGTCGGACTGAAAGAGGCTACAGAGATGGTGCGTTTCGTCGGCTGACCGTGCAGTTTGGCCAGCTGTTTGGTGGTGAGCGCTTCGTGGACTTGATCGGCGAGATCAGTCTCATCAAGGACTTTAGCCGCGCCTCGGAGATCATGATGACCGACGAGGAGCGCGAGGAGATGGAGCGCCAGCTACGCGAGCACAGCGCTGGCGAGGGCGCCAGCGCCGACGCCGGTGCGTCGGCCGATGCCGGCGCGCCCGCGGACGCTGCGGCGGGCGCCGCCCCGTCGGAGGTGGCGGCGGCGAGCAAGCCGGAGAAGAGCGGCAAGCACAAGATCTCGCCGGAGCAGCGCGAGAAGCTCGAGGAGTTCGAGAAGGAGAAGGCAGAGAAGGAGCGCAAGCGCGTGGCTGACCTCACCGAGAAGCTGAAGGACCGCATCCGGCCGTTTGTCGATGCGCGCAACCCCGGCGCGGCCGACGACGCAGAGACGCAGGTGTTCCTCTCGCGCATGCGCGAGGAGGCCGAGGACCTGAAGCTCGAGTCGTTCGGCGTGGAGCTGCTGCACACGATCGGCGCCGTGTACCTCACCAAGAGCAACACATGGCTCAAGACCAAGCGCGGCCACTTGCTCGGCATGTCCGGCTTCTGGAGCCGCATGAAGGAGCGCGGCGGCATGATCAAGGAGACGTGGAACGTCATGGGCAGCGCCGTCAACGTGCAGATGAGCATGGAGGAGCTCGCACGCCGCCAGGAGAAGGGCGGCCTCACCGACGAGGAGCTCCAGCAGCTCGAGCAGGACGTCAATGGCAAGATGCTCCTGGCCACATGGCGCGGCACGCGCTGGGAGGTCTCCGGCGTGCTGCGCCAGGTACTCGACAATGTGCTCAACGAGAAGGGCGTCGGCGAGAAGACACTCATGCTCCGCGCGCGCGCGATTGCTACGCTGGGCGCTATCTACCGCGACGTCGTGCCCGACGAGTCGGACGACGAGCGGCGCGAGCTCGAGCGCCTCGTGGCGCAGGCCGCTCAGAAGAAGAAGCGGCGCAACAAGGAACACTCGCGCCTGGGCTTCCTCCGTAGCTAATACCCGTTCTCTGGCACTAGGCACTCCATCGATTCCCACACGCCAGGCAGCCCGTCGTAGCTGGCCACCATTGGGACACAGCGTCACACGCCGGCACGTACGCCTGGCGCGCACAGCCGCCACACGTCCAGGTATGCACCCCATCAATCACCGCGTACGTCACCACGCACCGGTCGAACAGGTGCCCGGCCGGACACCGCGCCGTCGCAGCGAGCTCGGGCGGCATGTGTGCATCACACGCTGGGCACACCTCGTCCGCGTCGGCGGCGGGCGGCACGGCCAGGCGCGCTCGAAGGCGCTGCAGGCACGCTGCCACAGCCGACGACGTGCCGGGGGCGTGCGCGCCTTGCGCTAGCGCCCGCGCAAGGCGCCGCGTGTAGGCGGCCGGCATCGCGGCGTCCCACACCGCGGCACGCACCGCCAGGCCGAGCCACGCGCACAGCTCGCGCGCCCCGTCGAGGTGCGGCGCGGCGGCCGCAGGCGCCATGTGCGCGCCCCACGCCAAGCACTGCGCTTCGCGGTGCGCAGCGCGCCATTCGGCCGCGCTGGCCTCACGCTGCCCCAGGGCCTCGGCGTGTGCCTGCAGCTGGGCGAGACGCTCACGCAGCGGCGCCCACAGCGCACTCGTATCGGCCTCGCGCTCCAGTGCGTACGCCCACGCGCGCCACGCGACGATCGGCGGGAGAGAGGCGTCCGGCAGCGGCCGGTCACGGGGCAGCCACAGCGTGAGTGTGAGCTTGTGGCTGATCATGTAGCGCCACGACGCCGTCTCATCCGCACTCGCGAGCGTCGCCACCAGGCCGGACGGATCACGCGCGTAGCCCCACACGGTCTGCTCATGGGGCAGCGCCGCGATCTGTACGCCCGCCCGCGAATACATGCGCCCGTCGTCACGCAGTGTGCCGCGTGCATCGCTGCCAGCCGCATGCACGCCTAGGTCCAGCGGCACGGACGCGGGCGCCGACCCGGCGCGCCACGACACGAGCGCACTCGGCGTCGACCAGTGCAGCACCGGCCCGCCGGCCCAGTGCAGGTCCGAGACCTGCGCTAGGCCTATCGCGCATGTCCCGACGTGCGTCCACGCCGGCCCGTCGCGCAGCGAATATACATGCATGTGCCCCGCCGCGTGAACGGCGAGTCGCACCGTGCCATCGGGCTGCCATGCGCTCCAGCTTAGCGCATACACGGCCTGCGGCACACGCACACTCGACACGACGCGCGGCGGCCGTTCGAACGCGTCCCAGAGCACCACATCGCCACCGCGCGTGCCAGCCGCGAGCCACGCATGCCGCTGGGGCGAGACCGGCGACCAGCGCACGGCGGAACACTGCGTCGCGAGCGTGCGTGCGACGCCCGTGCGTGCCTCGGCCCACTGCCCACAAGGCACGTCCACGCTCACATAGGGCCCGGTGCGTGCGTCGCCCTCACACACATAGAGGCTCAGCTGCCGCCGCGCATTGATGGCGGCAAGCACGCATGTGTGCCGAGGGCCCACGCCGGCGGGCGACCAGGCCGCGGCGTGCCACGCCTCGCCCAGCGTGCTGGGCGCGGTGGCCGCGGCAATCTCTTCGTCGGCGGGCTCAGGCGCCGGCGGCATGCGCGCAAGCTCGCGCTTGGCATCCACGCTCGTCACCGACCAGGGCGCGCGGGCCTGCGACGCCTGCGCCACATCGCCCGCGTCGTCGCGTGCGTAGCCCACGAGGGGCGTCACAATGTGGATGGCGCCGGCCGTGACAACGGCGAGGAGGCCCTCCTCGGACCACTGCAGACAGTCGGCGGCACGGCATGCGCGCCCCGTGGCCCAGGTCGTCGAGCTGACGACGTCCGCCTCCCACATGCCACACACGCGCACGGGCGGAGAGGGGAAGGAGGGTGTTTGGCTATGAGTGCCTCCACACTACACGTCCGAGACAATGCCCTTGGCCTGGGTCGCGCGGCCCCAGGCGGCGTCGACGCGATCCAGGTACGCCTGGATCTCCTTGACGGTGGCCTTGCGCGTGTTGCGCACCTCCTCGCTGTCCGTAGGGATACCATCGAGCTTGAGCAGCTCGCGTAGGAGCAGTTCCGAGAGCTTGCGCTGCGTGAGGGGAATACGCTGCGGCGGGATGCACGCCTCGTCTACGGCGCCTGACGCGTCGTGAGGCGCCTGCGACTGCAGGCTACCTGGCGGCGCATCGGGCAGCGCCTCGATCGTCTTTTCCAGGAGCTCCAACTCTGGCACCAGGTCCCGCTGGCAGTGCTGGCTCACCTGCGCAATCTGCTCAAGGTGCGAGGGTGCGTCTGTGGTGCCCGGCGCACCAGCGCCCGCGTCCTGCGCCGGCGGCGCTGCAGGGGCCGCGCCCGCACGTGCAACGGGCGCCATCGTCGGCGCCGCGGACGGCAGCGACTCGGCGTCCTGCGCGGATAGTCCGCCCGCGGCTCCGCCCTGTGGTGCGCCCTGGGGCGTGCCCTGTGTGCCCTGCGCCTGTGCCGATGCTTGGGCGCGTGCTTGCGCCTGCTGCACGTACGCGTCGCGGGCGACGAGGGTGATGCGCGAGCCCGAGTGCAGGCCATACTCTTGCAGTGACACGCGGTCGTCTTTGAGGAACAGGCCCTGGAACGCAACGAGCACCTGCTGCACCGGCAGGGAAAACACGGCGGCAAGTTCCTGGCGCAGGTGGCCGAGCGTAAGCGCGCCCTGAATCTGCGGGAGGGTCACCTGGTAGCTACAGTGAGAAGTGCGTCTGCGTACCGCTGGCGTCCATACACGACGTCCAGCCACTCGACATCGGACCACGCCGACGGGGCCGACTGATTCCAGCGGTTCCACTGGTTCGAGAACCACGACATGACCGATCAACAAAGAGAAGCTGCGTGCCGATCTGGCAGGCCCGGGGGCGGCGCAGCTGGCAGGGACTATGTGCACGTGGCTTGGCGGTCGGGCCACGCGGTCGGCGCCCGATGGCGCGCGCTACTGCGGTGGCAGCGAAAAGAGCGGCGTCGCCATGCGCATCTTGACTTGGGTCGGATGCGGGAGCGCGCCTGGCTCCATGGCATTGGTATCTGGGATGCGGCGTGTCTGCATCGCCGAGCGCTGGTGCATCGGCAGCACCTCGGGCTCGCGCGGCGCGTCCGGCGCATTCGGCTTGTCGTTCTTTGCATTGTTGTAGAGGTATAGGCCCACGAACGTGAGCGCAATGCCGACCCACTGCCATGCAGTCACGCGCTGGCCGAACCAGGCAATGGCGACAAGGATGACAAACACCCGCTTGAACAGGTTGGCGACGCTGTACGTCACGGGCGACACGTGGGCCAGCACCTGGAAGGCCAGCAGATTCTGCGCAAAGTGCACAATCCCGTTCGACACGAGCAGGTACAGAGTGTAGAGGCCGACGCCCGGGGCCGTCCGCGCGGCCATGTGGCCCACGTCATAGTACAGCGTCATCGGCAGCATGAGTACGACGGAACAGGCACTCGAGTAGAACAGGATGTTGACCTTGTCCAGCTTTTCGGGTGCATTCGTCGCGGCACTCACAGCCGGCTTGAGCAGCTTCTTCGAATAAATGTTTTGGGCCACGACAATGAGTGTGCTGCCTAGCGCCGCTGCAAACCCGACCATATCTTCGCGCTTGTTCTTCGACAGCGAGCTGCACGCGAGCACAACACCCGTCATAAGCGGCACAAGCGCCACATAGGTCCGCAGCGAGTACGGCACACGAAAAAAGAGCGCGTACGACAGCACGGTAAAGAGGGGCGAGAGCGCCTTGATGGTGTGCACCAGGCTCACCTCAACGTGGCTCACGGCCAGCGAGCTGAGCGCGTGGCCCAGCACGTTGAAGATGCTGATCTGCACAATCTCGCGCATCTGCTGCCACGAAATGCGCACGAGCCGCTTCGCCAGCGTAAACTCCCCCAGCAACGACCGGCGTGTGCCGAGATAGCAAAACAGGTTCACAAACACAAACTGCACCAGCGTCAGCGTCACAGGGTATGGGAACAGGGGCGCGCCCGGCAGCACCTCGCCGGCCACCTTCGGTCGCGACAGCAGGCTCTTGCTCGTGTTGGACGTGAGCGCCGAGCTGGTGTACCACAGCACGCACAGAGCGAGAAGGAGCGGCACCGACGACGCATGCGACTGCGCATCAGACGCCACTCCATCGCTGTGCGCGCCCCCACGCCGCGCTCGCGTCTCCGCGGGCGGCCCTTTGGCCATCGTCGCACGTGTCGTGTCGCTCCCGACGCGGCGGGGCCTCGTTCATGCTTATGTAATTATGGGTATCGTGCGGCGCTCGCGACCGCCTGGTGGAACGTCCGGGGGATGCGCGCCGGCACCTGCAGGGTGCGTAGGCACTCGTCCACGCGCGCGACGGCGCGCGGTGGGCTGGGCGCATGTCGCACAGCTGTCGCAAGGGCTCGACAGCGCTCAGGGTGGTCCCACACACGCGCCCATGTGGCCGGCACATGCGGCGCGGTGCGGGTGAGCAGGTCGAGCGCACGCGCAAGCAGGGGCCAGCCCATGGGTGCCTGAGCGACACGCGCACGCGTACGGCGACCGCGGCGCACACCGATCATGTGCGTCCATGCGCCGACAAACCGCGTCCATAGCCGCACGAGCGTCGCCGCAGGCGGTCCCGTCGTGCGTGTCGTCGGCGCGCGCCAGAGGTCCGCGTCCACGCCGGCCGCGAGAACGTCCAGCATGGGCGCGAGGCGCCGTGCGCGTGCATGCCGGCATGCCTGCGAAAAGATGAGCACGAGTGTGCGGCGCTGCAGCTCGCGCGCGCTGTCCGAGGCGTCGCGCGCGATCCATGCCTGGAGCTTGGCCGCCGCCTCGCGAGATCGTCCGCTGGTAGCGTCCATCGCGATCTGTACACGCTCCAGGAGTCCGTCGTCGCCACCGAGCGTGTCAGACACGAGGGCGAGCTTCGCCCGCATTTTCTGTAGGCTCGCGCGCGATGGGAACGGCGAGCATGGCCGATGTGCGCGGCGCGCCTCGCTCATGACCGCCTGGTGCTGCGCGGCGAGCAGCTGTAATTCCAGCTCCAGCATGTGTGCGAGTGAGCGGCGGAATGCCGCGAGCGGAAGCGCGTCGTGGTGGCATAGCCACACGAAAAAAGCATCGACCAGGCGCTGCACTGGCGCGACCTTTTGCGCCATGCGCTCTGTGCCCACATGCGCCGCTGCTGCGCGGCGCACCGGAGCGGCAAGTGCATGCAGGAGACGCACAAGCATCGCGTCGTTCAGGCGCACACCACTCTGCTGCATGTGCTGGAGCAGCACATCCATGCTGTTACGAGGATGCGGCGCCGACGGATCGTGCTGAAGCCGCAGCAAAGTATAGTGGTATCCATCTGCAGCACTCAATATGCTGCTCTCGATACCAAGCCGCAGCATCTCGTCCATGCGCGCCCAGTCGTGTGCGTGTGCATGCAGCCGCAGCAGGGCCTGCCACACGGCGGTGTCAGGCAAGTGCCCGGCACAGACATGTCCATGCATCGCACGCCGGGTATGAGGCATGGGGTCTGCGCGCATGCGGCGGAGCAGGCGCGTATATGTGCCGGGGCCAATAGGGTGGGGCGCCGCCCAGATGCCTTCGAGGAGCGCTGTCAGAAGCACGTCGCGCTGAGGCGCGCCGATCGGTACGTGCAGAACGCAGCGCAGGAGCGTATCGTGCCAGCCGGCGCCGGCAGCCGCTGACGTCTCAGGTTCCTCGAGCACCTCTGCGCACACGCGCTGCGCCTCTGCGTGCGTCAGCGCGGGCTCTTTCCCAGCGCGTTCCAGTGCACGAGCGGCTGCCCAGGGCGCGATGCGAGGCGTGTTCGGCACGGGCGCCGGCGGCACGCGCGCCCTGGATATGGACGCGGCATACGCACTCGTGCGACGCGCGCCCAGCGGCGCGGCGCGGCCGAGTGCGCACACACCCGCACACGCAGCGAGCCGCGGCATGGCTCGTGGCGTCACGAATCGAAGCGCAGGCAATGGTGTTCGGCCGAGGGGCCACGACTCCACCGCGCGCGGCTTTTTTTTCTTGGCTCATGCCAGCGCGGGTGGCGCGGCCGCACGCCTTCAATGCGCGCACGCGCGCGTCGCGCGAGCAAAAGCGGCGGCATGACCAGCGAGAAATGGACGAGCTCGAGGCGGCATGTGCGACGCTCGAGCTTGGACCGAATGATACGGCGTTTACAGCGGTGCCGCTCTCGCAGCGGACGCGGCAGGGCCTGAAACGCGCGGGCTTCATCGACATGACGCCGATCCAGCGCGCATCCCTGCCGGCATCCCTGCGCGGCCGCGATGTGCTGGGCATGGCACGCACGGGGTCGGGCAAGACGCTTGCCTTCCTTTTGCCCGTCCTGGAGCGCCTGTACCGCCAAAAGTGGTCGAGCCACGATGGGCTGGGTGCGCTCATTGTGTCGCCGACGCGCGAACTCGCGATGCAGATCTTTGATGTGCTGCGCAGTATCGGGGGGGCGCACACATTCTCGGCGGGTCTCGTGATTGGCGGCAAGGACCTGAAGCACGAGCAGGACCGGCTCAGCCGGATGAACATTCTCGTGGCGACGCCCGGCCGCCTGCTGCAGCACTTGGACCAGACGGTGGGCTTTGATGCGACCAACTTGCAGGTGCTCGTGCTGGACGAGGCGGACCGCCTCCTGGATATGGGCTTTGCCAATACGCTGAATGCGATCGTGGAGCACCTGCCGCGCTTGCGGCAGACGCTCCTCTTCTCGGCGACGCAGACGAAGCGCGTGCAGGACCTGGCGCGCCTGAGCCTGCGCGATCCTGAGCACATTGCCGTGCAGGACGACACGGAGGCGCGCACGCCGCAGCACCTGGAGCAATTCTACATGACGGTGCCGCTGCCCGAGAAGCTCGATATGCTCTTCTCGTTCCTGCGCTCGCACACACAGTCCAAGGTGCTTGTGTTTATGAGCTCGTGCCGTCAGGTGCAGTTCGCGCACGAGGTCTTCTGCCGCCTGCGCCCTGGTCTGCCGCTCATGGCTCTGCACGGCAAGCAGAAGCAGACACGGCGCCTCAAGATCTTCACCGACTACAGCCGCAGCAAGCACGCCGCGCTCTTCGCTACGGACATTGCTGCGCGTGGCCTCGACTTTCCTGCCGTCGACTGGGTGGTGCAGGTCGATGCGCCGGACAGTGCCGAGACGTATATCCACCGTGTTGGGCGCACTGCGCGGTACCACGCGCACGGCAAGGCGCTCCTCTTTCTGCTGCCGAGTGAAGAGGCGGGCCTGCTGGGTGCACTGGAGCGAGCCGACATTCCCATCACGGATATCCAGGCGCGCAGTGCCAAGGTACAGCGGATCTCGCCGCAGCTGCAGTCGTTCCTGTTCCAGGACGTGGAGCTGAAACACCTCGCGCAGAAGGCCTTCGTGTCGTACGTGCGCTCTGTGCATTTGCACAAGGACAAGAACACGTTTGACCTGGCCGCTCTTCCGCTCCCCGAGTACGCAGCGTCACTCGGCCTGCCCGGTGCGCCGAAGATCAAATTTCTCCGCGAGGCACAGGCGCAGGCGCAGGCGCGCGCTGCAGCGCTCGCCGCGCAGAGCGAGAGCGACACGGCGTCCGAGCCTGACGAGCCGCCGGCGCCCAAGGCCGTGCGCACGAAGCATGACCGCCTATTTCACCGCACGAACCAGACTGTGCTGAGTGACCAGTATGCGTCGATGCGCGCAAGTGATGACGAGGAGGGCTTTGATGCGGGCGGCGCGAGTGACGACGACGGCGACCTGCTGACACTAGCGCGGGCGGATCACGACCTGGACGAGCACAACCAGGCGGAGCCGGCGTCGGCGCACCTGTCGAAGCGGCAGCTCTCGCGAGGCCAGAGCAAGAAGGCCATGGCCGCAGCGGGTCTGCGTGGCTCGGGCGACCGCGTCGTATTTGATGACGAGGGCCAGGCGCGTCCGCTGTACGAGCTACAGGACGAGGAGGCGTTCCATGCGCAGGGCCACGTCCAGGCGCAGATTGCGCAGCACGAGGCCGAGGCGCGCGCGCGGATGGCGGAGGCGGATGTGCGCGACAAGACACTGGCCAAGGAGAAACGCCAAGCCAAGCGCCGCCGGCAAAAGGAGATGGAGCGCCTCATCGCGGAGCAGAATGGCACGCGTGCGCCCTCCACGGCGCAGCTGCCGTCGGACGACGAGGTTGCCTGGGATGACTTGCCTCTGTTGGACAATGACGATGGCAAGGACGACGACGACGATAACGACGACGAGGCACCCCGCAAGCGTGCGCGGGTAGACGACCTCGAGGCCGAGGCCCTGCGCCTGCTAGGTGCCTAGATACCCAGGTACGTACGTGAGGCGAGCAGGATGGTACTTGTAATTTGCGCCTGAGTGGGGTCGCCGCGACGGGCTTGCTTGCCGGCAATGCCTGGTGCCCCCAGATGCTGCAGCTATACGACTGAGCCTCGCCCATCGCTTTTGTTGGAGCTAATTCTGCAGCTATACAAACTTGCCGAACCAGGGGATGAGCGACTGCGCGAGCGTGAACGAGAAGACCAGCTTGGGGCCGACGACCAGGACCTTGGGCGTGAGGCCCTTGAAGAAGGCGGTGAGGCCCTCGTTCCTGATCATGTCGCGGATGATCGCGACACCGCCGACCTTGGACTCGAAGTTGGCGTTCTGAATGCGCGTCTTGACGACGTCGAGCGGCGCCGCCACGGTGATGCTGGCGACACTGCCGGCAATGCTTGCGACGAAGTTTTGGGCCCACGTCGCATCCGAGTAGTTCTTGAGGCCAAACACATACTCCTTTGTAAATGCACTGCCGCCGAACAGCGCGAACGAACCTGGCGCATTGCGCGCAGCCGTCCAGCCCCAGCCGCGGTACAGGTTCACATTCTCGTCGAGGAGGATGCGCACAAAGCCGCGCGAGCGGAACGCCTCGGGGTTCGTCTGGCGCTTGATCTTCAGCACGTCGAGCGGCAGCAGCACAATCTCACCGATACCGGTCAGCGAGCCGGCCGTCGCACTCATAATGCTCTTGCCGGTGCGCTCGCCAAACACACTCTCAAACTGCCGCTTGTGGTGCTTGTTCAGGTAGTCGTTGAAGTACGGCTGACCGCCGAACTTGTACACACGCTGCAGCACCTTGTAGCCAGCCGCATAGCCCAGACCAGGGAACAGGCTCAGGAAGCGCGTCGTAAGCGGCGCGTGCGCCTTGTCCTTGAACAGCACGGCGGACATGGACGCGGTGCGGTCCTTGTTGCTCATCAGTCGCTTCGCCACAGTGTCCACGGGGTGGAACACGAGCAGCTCAGCAATGCCCGATGTGCCCGAACCGAGCAGACGCGCTGTCGCAGACTCCTTGTACTTGCCGGCCGGCGGTGCCATCCTGGAAGACGGTCGCAGCGACGGCCGTCGGCCCAGCCCCCCACATACCGATCACGTGATAAACTTGGTGTACGCTCGTCCGCCACCCTCCGACCCCCATGCGTGGCGAACGCGAGGGAGCCGCGTCGCCGTGGGCCGTGCCCGCGGGGCACGCTGTCGACGAGCCATCGCCCAGCCAGGAGATGGAGGTGGGATCGGTGCGCTCGAACCTCTCCGGCATACTTGTCGGCGAGTTTCTCGGCGCGCACCGCCAGCCGTCCGGCGCCCGTGCGGAGGAGGGCGCGCCTCTCCTGGCGGAGGCGCCAGCGCCTGCCCACAAGTTTGTGCAGCCGTCTATCTCGAGCATGGGCAATGCTTCTGGGTACGGCACGATCCGCCCCCCATCGCACACCGTGTGGACCGAGGCGGCCGAGGAAGAGGAAGACGAGACAGCCGCCACGGAGCGGGCCCTCTTCCACCAAGAGTTGCGCACCATCTTCCGCTTCACTGTGCCTGTGGCGGCTACGCATCTGCTTGAGCTGAGTCTGTCTGTCGTCTCCGTGCTGAGCCTCGGCCACCTCGGCACGGTCGAGCTCGCCGCGGCGTCGCTCGCTGGTATGACGGCCAATGTCACCGGTTTTAGCGTGCTCAGCGGCCTCATCTCCGCGCTCGATACGCTGCTGCCCGCCTCGTATACGCGCAGCCCACGCATGATGGGCCTCTGGACGCAGCGCGTCGGCGTCATGATCGCGCTAACGCTTCCATGGATCATTTTGCTGTGGCTCAACGCCGAGCGCTTCCTACTCCTGTTGGGCCAGGAGCCTGCCATCGCACACAAGGCCCGCCAATTCCTCTCCGTACTGTCTCTCGGACTCCCTGGACACGCCATCTTTGAGCTGAGTCGTCGGTTCCTGCAGGCCCAGGGACTCATGCATGCACCGACCGTGGTGCTCCTCGTCGTGTCGCCGATCAATGCGCTCGCCAACTACCTGCTCGTATGGGGCCCACCGTCGATCCGGTTCGGCTTTTTAGGCGCCCCGCTCGCGAGCGCCATCTCCATGTGGCTCATGGCCCTCTTGTGCACGCTGCAGTGCATGCTCGTTTCGCACGGCACCTGGGACGGCTGGTCCTGGCAAGCGTGGGACCGCGCGGGGCTGAAAACATGCTTCCGGCTGGGTCTCGCGGGGCTGCTCAGCCTTGCGTCCGAGTGGTGGGCGTGGGAGATCGTGGGCCTCGTCACGGCCGCCCTGGGAACCACCGCGCTCGCATCGCAGTCCGTGCTCCTCATCACGTCGTCCGTCACGTATCAGCTGCCCTATGGCGCGGCTGTGGCCGCCTCGGTGCGCGTCGGTAATGTCCTTGGTGCAGGCCATGCACTTCATGCGCGGCTCGCGAGCGATGCCGCGATCTTCGTGTCGGTGCTGATCGGCCTGTTCAATTCGTCCGTGGTGTTCTTCACGCGCCGGCACCTCGGCTTCCTCTTCAGCAGCGATCCCGGCGTCGTCCAAATGGTCGCTTCAGTGCTGCCGATCGTGGCTATCTTCCAGTGTGCCGACTGCATTGCGGGCATTGTGGGCGGTATCCTGCGGGGCTGCGGGCGACAGACCCTGAGCGCGGCTATCAACTTGACGGCGTACTATGTGGCAGGCATCCCCGTGAGCCTGTTCCTCGCCTTCGGGCCGCCCCAGCTCGGCCTCGCGGGCCTCTGGTGGGGACTCACTGCAGCGCTTTTGTATGCCGCGATACTGTCCCTCTGGTTTGTGCGCCGCACGCACTGGGAGTCCATCATGCACCATGTTCACCAGACCATGCATGCAGGCACAGTCGAAGCCTAGAATGCCTGTAGCTTGATACCTCATGATAACAGTATGTACCGTGTCGCGACTGAACGGCCACCATCGTCGGGGTGCGCCGAGTACATGGTCGAGGGTAGTGCATCGTCGTTACGCGCCACCCGCACATGTTGCTCGCGCGTCCCTGGCGCCATGGGCTGCTGCCGAATCCAGATCTGCGCCTGTGTGACGCGCGCGCCTAGCGTCTCCGTCGGGCTGCACGCTGCCCATGCGAGAAGGCTCATAGGCGGCGGATACGTCACATGCAACGGTACAGCGCGGTCGCTGCGTTGGTCCATAGTCAGCGACGGCGCGTGCATTCCATACAGGTGCAGTAGGTGCAGTGCCACATCCTGGATTGCTTCCATGCTCGTCGACCATGCAGACAGCCACGTACGAGGCTCGACAAAGAGGTCCGCGAGGCGCGTCGTACCGTCCTGCACACACATCATCGCCGCCGTCGCGTACACACATCCACAGGCCACAGTGGACGGGGGGTATAGCAGAGGCGCATATGTGCGGTGGCTGTGTGAGTGCAGCCAACATACCTGTCGCACGCAGTGCGCCAGACCAGGTCGGCATCCTGCTTCGGAACTCGCGTCAGTGGACATCACGTACTCTGCCAGTACCGGGCCACCTTGATGGTCCACCGTAGGATCAAGGGCGAGCGCGGCTGAAAATGGAAGCAGATACACTGTAGCAGCAGTCGTTCCAGCGCGACGAGACGAGCCTGCTCCTGCTGTATGGCGTCGACATCGATGTCCATCTCGGGCACTGTTGCGTGTGCGATCCAATCGCCACAGGCGCCACTCGCCGCGCCTGGCGGCGGTACGAGCAGGTCGGGAAACCGCAGCGCATAGCTCGCGAGGACCACATCGTACACACGTTTTTGCGTGTCATTCAATTTGGTCGCCGTGAACACACAGGCACAGGCCACCTCATGCATCGAAAAGTCAGCGGGCGGGTAAAACAAGTGGAAGCGAAGATACAGCATCTGCGCGGCGCCAATCGTTCGTTGGGGGCTGCGTGAGAGTGGCAGACGTACCAGCCGAGCTTCGCGCCCACGGCCGCAATAAAGGAACACGCCGCCATGCGCATTTGGTCCCACTTGGCCGCTGACGTGTGGTGGCCGCGCGCGCGGGCCTGTAGGCGCTCACACTGCGCCGGCGTGAAATAGGGGGTATCCTGGATGGTCGTCACTTTTGCGGGCGCTTTCCTCGCTTCATGCGGCCCTTGCGCATCCCTGACACCACTGCTGGTCGGCGGCAGCGATCGCTCTCGAGCGGGCGCAGCGGCCGACAGGCGCCCTCCCGATCCTACCATGGTTCGACAAAACGTCGCTAGTGTCTGCGATATGAAGCGCACCCTTGCCATTGCCTACTAGGCCCTTGCCACATTGTGTGGAGGCGGCGCGTCTCGCGACGCGAACCGCGACACTCCCTATGCTCGACGACGCGGAGGACCCTGCACGGCTCTTTTTCCCTGACGAGTCGGATGTCGACTTGTACGATGTCCTCGGTCTAAGCAAAGAGAATCAGCCAAGTTCTGATGCAATCAAGAAGGCATACCGGAAGCTGGCATTGCGGTACCATCCCGATAAGGCCCGACTGCACCAGGGTGATCCAGAGGCCGTTGCTCTGCGGTTCCAACAGATTGGCTTTGCATATAGCGTGCTGTCTGATGAGAAGCGACGAAAAAAATACGACGCTACTGGCTCGACGAGTGACTCTATATGGGAGAGCGACGAGCCTGTGGACTGGAACGAATACTTCAAGACCCTCTGGACCGGAGAAGTGAATGGAAAGACTCTGGAGGAGTTCAAAGCGTCCTACCAAGGTACGATATCGGTCTAACTCCAGGCTCAAGTGAAGAGCGCCGTGATATCCTGCAAGCCTACCGCGAGCACAAGGGCCATTTGGAGGGCATCTTTTCGGAGGTCCCCTGCTCTAACATCCTGGAAGACGAGGAACGCTTTATGGAAATCGTGAACGGCGCGCTGAAGGCCAATGAGATACGCCCCACTAAGGCATGGACAGCTCTTCAAAAGCCTGAAGGTAGCAAGACACGCAAGAAACTACGTGCCAAGGCCCAGCAGGAGGCCAACGAAGCGGAAGCCTATGCAAAAGAACTGGGCGTCTGGGACGATTTCTACGGATCCTCTACGAAGAAGCGCAAATCTGCTCAAGTCGAGCCAGCGACATCCGCGTCGAAGACAGGCGGGGCTGAGGATGACGACGGCGCCGATCTCGACGCGCTTCGCAGGGCCATGCGGGCAAAAGCGTCGCAGCGCGCGTCTTCGTTCGATGCTATGATTGAGCGGTTGGAGCAAAAGCATGCAAGGCCTGCTGCAGCGCCCAAGCGATCTTCCAAAAAAAGACGCGGTTGACAAGTAAGGTGCATCTAACGTGGCGTGCATGAGGCTGTGCCATTATGTACACTTGGCGTTGACAGTCGGCCGAGCCATAGCACGGACCATTTCTCCGAAAATACAAATGGGATAGCCTATCTGTATTCCTTCTGTGTCAGATGCGTTTCTTCGCAGTTGTGCTTCTGTTCACTTTGGTGAGCGTCGCGGTCGCCCGCATTCCTGTTGGGGCAGACTCGAGCACTAGCAATGTAGGCGGTCCTATGTCGCGCATGTCGGATAGCGGGTCGTCGGGTGCCAAGTCCACTAAAAGTGGCAGCTCGTCAAGCAAGTCGTCCGGATCTTCAAAGAATGGAGGTGGCGGCCCCACTAGCAGCAAATCGTCCAAGTCGTCGCAGACCGGAGGCGCGGGTGACAAACAAACTGATAATACAAGCAATACTGGCATCCCGCCCCAATCGTCGTCGGCGATATCGCAGCTGGGTTCGTCGCAGGTGTCTTCGGCAATGAGCCAAGGCAATATTGATCCCTCGAACGGCGCCGAGGCTTTAGCGCCGGGCGTGCTGGTGAGCATGCTTCTCGCTTCTACAGCTACCCTCCTTCTTTCGATTGCCTAAAACATCTGTCATACATTGCTGGCCATCCGCTGAACCTTGTACAGACGTTTCGTCCCTGTATAGACTGTACGTAACGCTGCCCCATACAAGCATGTTAGAGCCAATGTCAGGCTACTTGGCCGATTACTCAACGAGTACATAATGCTTATATAACCCGTTCGGGTAAATCCACTATGTAACACTACGTGGCTTTGTCCTGACTGCCATGGCCCGCAAGAACCGTCAAGCCATGCCACTGCCAACCACGCAGGCTACCCCGCCTATTCGGTTTGCTGTACGTACTCAGAGGAATGACTCACTCTATAGCCCGAGGATGGGGAGAAGAAGGCTGTGTCGAAATCGGGCAAGACCAAGGCCCGCGGCCCTTGCAAAAAGGGCAAGTGCGCCACGAGCTGTCTGACCGGGTGGATCATGCGCCTGGGCATCTTCTACCTGATTTTCGCTGCGCTGTGGCGCTGCCCTTCTACGCCATTTTCTTTCACGTACGATGCCAACCACGAGCTGCTTGTGTGTCGCGAGATGGCCTCGTTCCAGCAACACGTCTCTCCGGCCCTGCATGAGTTTGCCGGCTCCGCTCACCGCTTCGTGGAGCCCTACGCCGGCAAGTATATTAATGCGGCTCATGGCGCTTGGAAGAAGGCAGAGCCTGTCGTGCACAAGTCCGCGAAGAAGGTGCACAACGTCTACTGGTCGCACGTGGAGCCTGGTGCGCGCGAGCTATACAAGCAGGCCTATAAGTGGTCTCTGCCGCACCGTAAGACGGCGCACGCGCACTACAAAAAGCATCTGCGTCCGCATGTAAAGAAGTTCAGCAAGTCGATGAGCCCTTACGTGAAGACCTACTACAAGGACGTCCACCCACACGCTGTATCGCTCAGTCGCCAGCTTCAGCGGGCGTATGACCACTCCTCGGACTACTACGTGAAGAAGGTGCACCCTACTATCAAGCAACGCCTGTACGACCTCTACGTGTACCTGCGCCACACGCTCTTCCCTCTGGCGCACGGTCACTATGTCAAGCACGCCCACCCTCATGTGACACGTCTGCACAAGAAGGCCTCGAAGGCGGTGGACGGCGCATTGCACAAGTACGGCCTCAAGGAGCGTAACCTGGCCGACTCGATTACCGAGTCTGCGAAGGACACGTACGAGAAAGTCAAGCAAGCTGTGAGTAATTAAGCCAATTTTACAGCATCTGAATACATGATTGATGTGATGTCAGGTGCGTGCGCTATGCAGTTCTGCTGTATAGCGCGTATATTTTGCGCAGAATGAATCTAATACTTTGTCTATAACAGGTGATCCCTAGTGAGTCTGCTGTACCCGTTGAATCGGAACCGCAGGATGCGTCAGCTTCGTCAGAAAGTGAGATCGACCACGAGTCGGGTGAAAACGTGGCCGCACTGCAGGCGCGTCTTGATGCGGAGATGCAGAAGGTCGAGGCAAGGCTGGGTGAAGAAGAGTCCACCATGCTGCGGCTTGTGAATGCGGAAACGGACCAGATCCTGGACGAAATTGCTGACATGCGGCGCCGTGCTCTGCCGCTGATGCCCGAGCGACTTGAGAAAATCATGCAGGTGGGTATTGACGGCGGCATCAGCAGCGTCTTTTTGCGCGCCGTGCGCGAGTTACGAGCGCGTTCTGCTTCGCTTCCAGCCGGCACACGGCCTTCGGACGAATGGAAGGAAAGCGCTCGCGTATGGCTCACTGATCAGATGGACAGCCTCGTTGATGTGTACGACGAGATGCGCACGGCTGCGAGTGAGCTAGTGCATGCGACGCGAGCAAGCGAAGCGCAGATGATCCAGGCAAGCGTGGCCAAGATCCGTGCTCAGTCGCGTGTGGCCGCGCGCACCTTTTACGATGTGATGGAGGAGGCCGAGTTCCAGCTCACTTACTATGAATTTGAAGGCTGGGATTCAGGTATGAAGCGCCGCGGCCGCTTCTTCCGTGAGAGCGTCATGGAATCGCTGGACAAGATGTCCATCCTCGGGGACGAGAGACAGGATGCTGCGACAGACCTGAACGCTGAGTCTGCGCTGCTTGGCAGTGCGATTGACGACCTGTTCAAGGGCATGGAGCAGGGCCTGAACGGGCTGACAGACCGTCTGCTGGAGGACCCAACGCTGCTCCATGATCGCACATCCTATGCACAGTTGCTGCTAGACCTGCACGAGCATTTGGATGCTCTTAGCGCTACGGGCCATGAAATTGCAGTGAATTCAACGCTGCGAATGCGCGACTTAATCTTCGATGTCCGCGAGAGTCTTAACATGACGCGCATTCCCGACGAAGGTCTCTTGCGTGACGTCGCACACCTCCCCCCTCTTGTGCCGCTGGAAGACGGTGTGGCGACGGATCCGACAACGGAGCCAACCCACCCTGACACGGACCCACTTCCCACGTCATCAATGGAGGAGGAGGCGGCCTTTGCTACCATTCTGCCTGTGGATGATGAACTTGTGCGCGAGGCTAAGAACCGCCCGAGTAGCCTTCCTGTTTCGTCTGATGTGACGGTATCTGAGTCGGCGACCACGGCGTCATCGTCAGATGTGGCTTCGATGCCTTCCAGCGCTGCAGTGCCCATCGAAACCGCGGCTTCTTCGACTACTTCAGAGGCCCTTAACGAGGCCTTCGCAAATGAGGCCGAGTCTTTGGAGCCTGCGTCTACGTCGAGCAATACGGTGGAAACGACGAGCACAGCCCAGGCTGTGCACGAGACAACAGACGCAATTCCGCCGTCGGCTGCCACGGCCGAGGCTACGGAGCAGGAAGCTCTCCAACCCACTCGTCCCATCGATCCCGAGGCACTCACGGAGACTTTGACACCGGTGCTGGCACCGACCTCTACGCCTCCTCGCGAGACGGCGGATGCCACGCGTGATGCTTTTCCGTCTCGTATTTTGACTGAGACGCCCTCTATAACAGAGGTGACCGAGCCGCAAAGTGGGTCGGCCACACCCTCCACCATGGAGCGGCACGTTGCGAGCTCGACTGTCGATGCAACACCGCAGGAACCGGCTTCGCCGCCTACTCACTGGCCGAGCACGACTATGGCTCGCATACCGCGACACCCGACAAGCCACTCTCAGAGCGCTGATGTCGCGTTTGAGACACCTCGTCACGACGAGCTGTAACTGTCTATTCCTACTTACAAGATCGTACCTAGACTATGATAGTTAGTCAATGACTTTGCAACGTACCCAAGAGATTTGAGGCCGCGAATATAGTAGTTCTCGAGACCGGCCTGCGAGCTGTCTTCCTGACCCGTAGGGATGCCGCTGAGGATCAGATCCAGCTTGGTGGAGTCGTCACCCTGCGAGAGTTCCGTCGTCAGTGTGCCATGGTGACCAGCTGGCCACTGTGGCACGCGCCAGGTTTGAACGAGTTTGTTCGGCGCAGACACTTCCACAATCTGCCCTGAAATGTTGCCGCCAAACAGCGAGAAGTGCGCACCCACATTGGGCGAGAACTGCGCCGGCGCCTTACTCCACATGGGGATCCTCAGGGGGTTGGTGAGCAGGTCCCACAGGTCCGCCTGGCTGATGGCCAGGTGGCTCGACACACGCACCTCGGTGGAGCTGGTCGAGACGGCGCCTGTAGATGACGAAGATGTAGATGAAGGCACCGCCTTTGCACCGCCCGACACGGGTGCCGCCTCCTTGGTGGGTGCCGGTGCATCGTCGTCATGCCCCAGGTCCTTGGCATGAGTGTCGATCAGCTCCGCACGGAAGCGGTGGAACACCTGCTCCACCGAAGGCGCCAGCTTTTGACGCACAGTCGTGTACACATCGTGCGCCGTCTTGGACGACTCCGTGAGTAGCTCAGTCTCAAACCGGTACGTCTCGTTATTGTCCTCAATCTCGTGTGAGACTTCGGGGAATCGGATTGTGCCATTCACGACGGTATCATCGATATCAGCCGACCACTTCAGGGTGACTTCACAGTCGTAGATCGTAATTAGCTTACCCTTGCGGTTGCCGAGCTCCACGTCTCCCTCAAAACCCGACAGCTTGTCGACCTTCACGGTGGCCGGGCCGTCGCCCACCGTCGCCGAGTGGCCCACAAGGTTGTTGGTGAACCAGTCCTTAGCCCAGGGCGTGCATCCCTTGGTCTTCCAGTGGTAGTGCTTATTCCAGGTCGACATCTACACTGATACGTTCGCTGGGCAAGTAGTGCGTGCCTACAAGACCATGGTGCAGCCAGACATGGAATGCTCGAGAAGCTACTCCACGTGGTGTCACGTGCTCATCTATGTGTGTTCACTAGCCTGGCGGCGTGAGTGGCTGGGAGCGCACGTACCTGCTGGTATAGATGGTCGACGACAAACGAGATCTGCTTGAGTGTACCTAGCGCCATCTCGTAGGTTTCCTGCCGGTTAGATGCAGCACGTACGTCTTCTTCGACTTTGTCAAACACGACCAGGCATCCCGCCCCCTGGTCGAGCACGCCCTGGAACACCTTGTCGAGGATCATTTGGCTCAGCCTGGCGTCAGTAAAGGACACCTACTTTTGTTCCACTTCACGCACAGGTTGGTGCACGAGCTTCGCAATGTGGGCTAGCTCGATGCGCGAGTAGGGCTCAATGACACGCAGCAGGTTCTGCTGCAGAAGCGAGTCGTACAGTGCAGAGAGATGGTTGCGGACGATCGGATCACTAGCGAGTTCTGCCGTAAGTAGATGCGACGTACCTTCTTTGAACTGGCGCAGCGTCCGCTCAAAGTCCTCGAGCGAGCGGTTCCGCTGCGCCTCAGCCACGGCCTTCATGACTTCTACGTCTCGGCTCTGCGCATACTTGCTGGCCACCTTGCCCTCGAGGATCGTAGGCAGCTCGTGCGGCAGGTTCAGCATGATCTTACACAGCAGCAAGTACTTGAGCGCAGGCGCCGCACGTGCGTCGTCAATCGAGTCAAAGCCCTCCAGCGTCTCGAAGAAGTACGAGGCAGCGGTCGAAAAGTCCTTGTCTTCAGCATGAAGAATACCGCCCTGCATATCGAGCTGTGCCTGCATCATAGGCGGGCAGTAGATCGAATTCGCCGACGTGCGCGCTGACGTCAAAGCCGCCTTGGCCTTGGGGAAGTTGCCGATCGCATGGTTCACCTTGGACTCCAGCAGATGGACCTCTGTCAGGATCATCTTGTCGTCGAGTGTCTTGAGCTCTTTGAGCAGTTCGTTGATCAGCGGCAGCGCGTCCCGGTATGCCTTAGCCTCAAAGTACTGCGCAATCAACTTCGTCTCGAGGTTCTGCTTCAGGAAAATGCGCTTCTCCTGTTTCGCCCACGCCGCATTCTCCTTCGTCACAGCAATCTGAATGTCCCGGCTGTTGGGAATGTCATTGAAGTAGTCAATAAGAATGCGCACTGGCGGTAAGCGTCGGCCACATACCTAGCTTCGCCGTCTTGGCCTTGGCAATCGAGGCCATGAACTGGCGTGAGTCCACGACCGTCTTGGCAAGGCTCTGTGCATCCCTGGTGTCAGTATGGTATACGCACTGTTGATCACGATGCAGCTGGCCCAGACGCAAAAGTGCCTTTTCCTGCTCGGCGAGCAGCGCCTCGTCGTCTTTGTCTACGGTGAGCCGCGACTCGCACGCACCTCCCTGCTGCTTCAGAATATTTTCCAGGATCTGCTTGCCCTCGGCCACGCGCCCAGCGTCCAGGGCCTCGCTTGCCTCGGCGACAGAGCCCATCCTGTGGTTCGGCGCCATCGCGAACCACGGAGAGCGACGCGCGGCCGCTCCCAGGCGCTGACTCAGCGACCTCGGCCGTGCTCGTCGATGGACGCGCGGCCCACGACTCTCGTGGAGCACCATGGACGACGAGGCGGTGGCACCGATTCCCAACCCTACGGTGCAGCAGCAGCTGTTTGTGCTTGTTCGCGAGGGCTCCAGTGAGGCCCAGCGGTCGGACGCCCTCTCCAAGCTGCTAGATAATATCAAGAAAGATGGTGCGTGAGACCGCGTGCTGACCGAAGACATGGCGCCGTACTATGAATTCCTGCTGGCGGACCCTGCGATCGCGGCGCATGTGCCGCGGGACGAGTCACTGATTCAGTCGATCCGTGCAAAGAATGTGGCGGAACTCGAGCGACTGGATGCTGCGCGAAAGCAGGCGGAGGAGAACGACGGCGACCTCGAACTGCACACAGTGCTCAAGCAGCGCGCCATGTACCTTGCGCGCATCGGCGACAAAGAGGCAGCGCTGCCGGCGATTGAAGAGGCTGTGGAAAAGGCACAGGGCAGCGGCACCAAAATTGACCTGACTCTGCTCAAAATCCGTGTGGGTCTGTTTTACGGCGACACGGATCTGACAGAAACCAATATGGCCAAGGCGGCGACGCTGATTGAAGAGGGCGGCGACTGGGACCGCCGCAATCGCCTGACGGCGTACCGCGGCGTGTACTGTGCGTCGATCCGCCACTTCAGCGAGTCGTCCAAGCTGCTCAAGGAAGCCCTCAGCACGTTTACGGCGACGGAAGTGATTGAGTACAAGGACTTTGTTGAGCTGACCATCCTCATGGGCATGGTCACGCTCTCGCGGCGCGAGCTGAAACAGCTCATGGAGTCACCAGAGGTGCTGCAGATCATCGACGACCTGCCGCACCTGCGCGAGTATACCTCGTCGCTGTACAATAGTGAGTACGCGACGTTCTTCCGTGCCCTGGCAATGATCGAGCAGGTGTACCTCCTGCCGTCCCGCATCCTCTCGCGCCACACCCAATTCTACGTGCGGGAGATGCGCATCATTGCATTTTCACAGCTTCTGGAAAGCTACCGCAGCGTCGCACTCGACCGCATGGCCCAGGCATTTGGCGTCACGACCGAGTATATGGACCGTGAGCTGTCGCGCTTCATCTCGACTGGCCGCCTCGCGGCGGTCATCGACAAGGTCGAGGGCGTCATTGAGAACCGCCGCCCCGACCAGAAGAATGCCCAGTACAGTCGCATCATCAAGGAAGGAGACGTGTTGCTAAGTACGTATGCGCGGCTAACCCAGACTCGCTGCAGAAGCTCTCGCGCACTGCCCTCTAGATAGCCTACGAATGGAACGCTGCATTCAAGGCATGGAACATGCCCGCCGCCAGCATGCGCTGCTCGACACTCGTGTCACTAGGTGATAGCTTATCCGGGTGCAGCCGCGCAATCGCCTTCGTGTAGGCGCGCTTGACCTGCGCCTCGCTCAGAAGCTCATGCAGCCCGACCTTTTTCCAGCGCAGGGCGGGCCACACGAGGCGGTACTGGGGGTCGTCCACGGATGCGAGCAGAGCGCGAACATTCGTCTCTTTGCCTTTGGTCCACGCCGCAATGCGCGCGTCGACCGAGTCCTTGTGTTGCAACCGCTGCTCTTCCTCGGCATCCTGCGCCTGGTGAATCTCGCGCATACGCGCCACACCCTCTGCGGACGCTTTGGGCGCAGTGGCCGTCGGCACTGCTACACGCGCAGGACGCTGTGGCGCCACAGGCTTGAGCATGCGGTCACAGCGGGCCGTGCCCTCCGATGCTGCTCGGCGGTGCATCGCGCCGCTCTTCACACCACTGCCCTCTAGCCGCTCGTACGAGAGCAGCTGGGCCCAGTCTTGACGCGCGAGCGCCCACTTCTCCAGCATCTCATGCGCGCGCGCGCGTTGACTGAGGCTCTTGGCATATGCCTCACGCAGGTTCAGCGGCGCATGCGACGACGGCAATGCATCCTTGCTCGGGCGGTACAGACCGTCGGGCATGGACGGCAGCACAATCAGCTCGACGCACAGGGCACAATCGGCGATGGTCCCGTCGCCATCCCCATTTTTCAGCCGTACATTCGCTCGGTTATTGAGTAGTGGCACGCGCCAGAGCGATGTACGCGGTAGGACTTCGAGGGCTCGGGTATACTGCACTTCGGCGTCGGCATATGCGCCCTTGACGAAGTGCTTGTTGCCTTCTTCTTTAAGTCGCATAGCATGGGCTACAACGCCCGCATCCTCCGGCGCCACAGTACGCACCACTGCCGCGGGCGCCGATACAGTGCGACTAGGTGCAGGGCGCGGCGGAGAACGGGGCGCGGCCGCCGGTGCTCGCGACGAAGGCGAGGGTGTGGCATCATCGAAGAGACACACGTCCGTCGGAGGCGGCTGAGTCGGCGCCTTGGAAACCGCTGGACGAGGCGCCGAGGCCGGTGCCCCAGCAGGCTTCGACTGCGCCACCTCCGCCTCGTCCATCCACCGCGGCCGCGCATCGTAGTCCAAGGGTGCCTTGGCTTGGCCACCCCAGCGGCGCATCGCATGCCGACTGAGCCCTGCGGCCATAGCCACAGCAGAGCCTCGAGAATTCGACTCCCTGGACGCCTCGTCCAGAGCTTTTTGCGCCTGGGCCTTCGCCGTGCCCCACCAGGCATTGGCATTCTTCAGCATGGCTGTGCCCAGCTCACTCGCGTGCGCATAGAGCTGGTCCGCCTGCTGGTGCAGCGATGCTGGGCCTTCACGATGCGCAGAAGGGGCAGCCGGGGGACCACGGTCCATGGGCCCACGCACACGTTCCTGCTTCATCGGTTTTGGCGGATCACTCGGGCGCACAGGCTCAGACGGCACAGGCTCCGATGCCTTGAGAAGAGTCAGTGCATGATCCACATCTTGGCCCGAGGGCGTCGCTGCAAGGGCCTGCCGAGCCTCCAAGGGCCCATAGCCCATCTCGACAAGGCGTCCGACAATGTGGGGTGGAGGGGATGATCCACGACGAGGCCCACGCATTGGTGGCGGCGATGCCGGTACCGTGGCAGTAGTGGGCGGCGACGGCCCCAGATCACCTAATAGTTCGTCGTCTTCACCATCCGTCTTGCCCAGCAGGTCGGTATAGTCGCGTGCAGGCGGACGACCTGGACGCTTAGCGGTATGCTGTACAGGTGCGCGCGGTGCACTCGCAGGCCGGCGAGATGACGGCTGCGCTGTTGCCTTGGATTCAAACGCATCCCAACCCCATAAGTCCTCGCTCGGTGCGACCTTTGGCGCTTGTGGCGCCTTGGCAGGGACCGGGTGCACCGCTTGCGCCGACGAACCACAGCTTGGCTTGACCGACGTGCCAAAGGAGGGGAGCAGTGATGAGAATGCATCGTCTGCTGACCTGTCTGACGACCGAGTGACAGGCGCGGGGTGCTGAACCGATTTTTGCGCCGGTTTGGGCGCTGTTGAAGACGTTTGGGACGGCATAGAGCGCAGCAGCGCGTCAAATTGATAGCTGGATGCGCCTGCCGCGTTCGACGGTCGCTGTGAGGGCTGCGAGCCCCAGTCCAGCTCGACCAAATCGTCCATCGTGTCGATCCAACACCGCCGCCGCGCGGCCGCGGTCTTTGGGTATCACGTGCACCACAGCCTTCTCCACGCCACACGCCGGCATCCCTCATGTTCCGTGCGTCGAACGCCTTCGACGAGCCTGTCGCGAAGGCGACAGATGAGAACCTGACGAGCGAGAACTGGGAGATAAATCTTCTTCTGTGTGATAAGCTTGCGTCGAACAATGAGGCGGACGCGCGGCAGTGCCTGAATGCGATCCAGAAACGGGTCGTGCACCGCAATGCCAATGTGCAGCTCTACGCGCTCACACTCGCTGACACACTATCCAAGAACTGTGGGGATGCCGTGCACCATGAAATTGCCTCGCGTTCATTTATGCAGACTATTATCAAGGTCGTGCGGGATCGGTCTACGCATGCGCTCGTGAAGGAACGGGCCTTGAAGTTGCTCAAGTCGTGGGCCGACGAGTACAAAAACGACGATACGCTCGGCCTCGTTGCTGACACCGTGCATGATCTGCGGGAAGAGTGTGCGTAGGATGTGCTGACGCAGACTACGATATCGACGAAGAGCCTCGGTCCGCTGCCGTGCCGGAGCAGGACAGCCGCGAAGAGGACGAGCTGCAGCGCGTCCTGGCTCTGTCGCTGCAGGATCAGGGTGGGCCCTCGTCCTGGACTGCATCGAACTCTGCAGGCCCGTCCGGCTCGGCGCGGCCCGCGGAATCAGGCAGCCGCTCAGCGGCCCTAGCGCCTGAGCCGAAGCGCGAGCCGGCACTGGCATCGGCGCCAGTGGCGCCAGCGCCCGAGCCGCCAGTGGTGTCGCGCCCGGCCTATGTCTGCGCCCTGTACGACTTTACGCCAGATGAGCCAGGTGAGCTGGGCTTCCAGAAAGGCGATGTCATCCGTGTGCTGGACAGTGTGTACGAACAATGGTGGCGAGGCGAGTTGCGACAGCAAGTGGGTATTTTCCCGGTCAACTATGTCGAGGCGGTGGCAGATCCTACGCAGGACCTGCTGCAGGAGGAGCGCGAGCTAGAACGGCTCGTATTCTCCCAGGCGTCTGACATCCACCTGTTGCATGCTCGACTGCAGCACGTCAAGCCGACGGACAACTTTGTCGACGACGACGAGCTGCAGGAGCTGTATCAGCGTTCCTTGGCCCTGCGGCCCAAGATTATCAAGCTCATGGACAGGTACCACACCAAAGTGCAGGAGCTGCGGTCGCTCAACGACAAGTTTGTGCGTGCGCGCACCACGCTCGACGACCTGATTCAGGGGCGCCTCCAGCAGACCGAGGCGCCGCCCAGGCTGCCCATGGACGCCCCCAGCGCGCCCACGTCGTCGGTGACCCCACCAGCGCCCTCGGGCTCTGCGCCCCCGTTCCTAGACATGCCCCAGGAGGATGAAAAGCGGCGCCTCTTTGAGCGCGCGCGCGCCGAGGTGGAAGAATACCATCGGCAGCAGCAAGCGGCGTCGCAAGCGCTCGAGGGTCTGCAATGGACACCCCCCTAGTACATCTTCGTACCTCGCTCGCTGAGACGCGGCACACACCGAAAGGCAGGGTCCTTGGCGCGCGACCACAAATACGCATCGAGCTGCTCTTCGGTCATGGTCGCGAGCCAAGCCTTGTCGGGCGAGGTGCGCGCCATTTCGTGGGCCATCTCGACGATCTGCGCACCGGCCGCAAGGGCGGCTGCGCGTACGCGATACGCGGCATCGCGTGAGAGGCGCGGGCCGTCCACCTTGTCCGCGCCCTCCTGCGGGACCGCCTGCCATGTGCGGAGCGCAGGCTCCGGGCAGTCAGCGAACGACAGGATACCGAGCGTCGCGAGCATCGTCGGCACCACATTGTCCACAAACATGGGGAGGGGCGCTGGCCGGTGCACCTTGTAGTGCTCGCGCAGATGCACAAGGGCTGGCGGTAGCGCTGGTCGCGCCAGGAGTCCGCGCAGGGCATGCAAAAGAAAGTACGCCTTCTTCCATAGATGTACGCCATGGTCGCCCTCCATGAAGGTGTCGTCAAACGCAGGCACCTCGGTGATCGATGCCAGGAAGGCTGAATCGGCGTCGTCCGTCGCGGCCGCTGCCTCGCATGCCTGCAGCACGTACGCACCCAGACTGGGCATGTGGCGCGCCTTGAGGAACGCGCCGGTCTCGCGACACATGGACGCGGCAAGCTCGAGGGGCTCCTTCAGCGGTCCGCCGGGCACGCCGACGGTCACCCCCGGCAGCGTCGGATGCGCGGCCTCCGTGTGCGTCGGCACGCCCAGGAGCTGGGCGAGCATGGCGGGGGTGACGTGGGCGAGGCCCTCAGCACTCAGGTTCGCTGCGTCGCCGTCCGCCGACAAGTACAGGCCGAGGACCATGCGCCGCACATTGTCGTACGCCCCATGCCCCGTGGCCCGGTGAAAGTCGACGCGGTATCCCGAGAACGCATTCAGCAGGGCCAGCACGGCGACGAAGTTCACCTCGTCCTCCGCCGACGCAAAGGCGAGGGGGAAGCGCAGGCCATGCTGCGTCTTGAGCGCCTCGAACGTGTCCTCGGGCAGCATCTGCAGAAACGTGCGGATGGCCCCGCCATCGATGCGGATGCCAGCGCCGTGCGCCACGTCGGCGCACGCCGCGCGTACGTCCTGCAGCGCCATACGCGACGTGGGAGGAGGCGGCGGCGTATCGGCCGAGCTTTTCTTCGTCCACCATGGCGCTGCGTGCGACGCCCGCCTTGCGACGGGGCACGCCCGCGGAGCTGATGCAGGGATTCCGCCGCTGGGGCGCGAGTGTGTATGCGCGCACCGCGAATGTATCGGTGGCGCCAGGCGAGGCGCCCGTCTCTGACATGTCGAAAAAAGCATTCGAGCACTGGCGCAACAGCGAGACGGGCCGCTGGAACCCGCCCAAATACTCGCTGCGGCGGCAGGCCCAGCTCGTCCGTGCCGCGTACGCGGTCGAGCAGCCTGAGCTCGTCAAGGCGAGCCCCAAGTATGCGCGGTACATGCGCCGCTGGGAGAGCATGCCGACGCACGAGGTGTTCACCGGCTTTCCGGCCGTGCAGTGGCCGCAGCTGAGCGCGGCCGACGACGCCCGCGAGGCCGAGCGCATCGCACGCACCTTCTCGCAGCATGGCCCGTACGCGGGCCGCGCGCGAGCCCGCATGTTCAAGGGCAAGAAGGGCGACCGCGCGTCGCGGTCCCGCCAGCGCGTCGTCGAGGAGAATATGCGCACGATCGACGAGACGATCCAGGAGTGGCGCGAGGTGCGTTGTCTCGCTAACCCCAGGACAAGGCCGCTGCGCGTGCCAAGGCCAAGCCTGTCTCGCCCCTGTAGTGTAGGCCCACCCAACCGCCCGGCCGGGCGCGACTCGGTGGAGGTAGCTTCCGACCCACCGCATCGATGGCAGAGTGGGCCCAGCAGGCCCATGTGCTGGCGGACCATGCGCCGCCGGGCGCGCTGGGCGCCGTCACGTCGCTGCATTTTGACTCGCTCTCGGAGCTGCTCTGGGTCGGTAGTGCGTCGGGCCAGGTGACGTCGCATACGAGTGCGCTGCCCTCGCTCACGCGATATACGTCGTACGCGGCCCACGGGACGCCGCGGCAGGCGCACGAGGTGCGCACCATCCTGAGCGACGACAAGTCGATCCTGAGCCTGAGTGAGACGTCGGTGCGCGCGACGCAGCGCTGTGGCCTGGGGCGCTGGACGATCGACGTAGCGTGCGTATGAGCGACTGACGCCAGGGAGCACGCGCGGGGCCTGCAGCTCCAGAGCATGTGTGCGTCGCCGCTTAGCTCGAGCTCGGACATTTTTGTCGGCGGCGCTACGGCGTCGGCGCAGAATGGGCAGCTCACCGACACAGACGTGGTGCTCACGGTCAACACCAATTCGGGCAGTGTCGTGCGCCAGGCGCCCTCGGAGGCGGTGCTCACGCACCTGCGCAAGAGCGGGCGCTACGTGTGCACGGGCACGGCGCAGGGCGCCATCCAGCTGCGTGATCCGCGCTCGCTCGCCATCGAGCACAAGTTGACCGCGCACCACGGCGGGCTGATCGACATGCAGGCCGAGGGCCATCTGATCTACAGCATTGGGTGGACGCTGCGGCAGGGGCGGCGCATGGCGGAGCCCTTCATCAAGGCGTTCGACCTGCGCACGATGCAGCCGCTCGTGCCGATCCCGATGACGGCGCCCGGCGGCCCCGCGCTGCTGGCCGTGCATCCGAAGAAGTCGTCCATTCTCGCCGTGGCCACGCCGCAGTCGCAGTTCCAGGTCATGGACACGCAGTATGCAGGCCTGAGCCAATTCTACTCGCTCACGTCCAACGCATACATCATGTCCATGGCCTTCTCGTCGTCCGCCGAGGCGCTGGCCTTTGGCGAGTCCGACGGCTCGGTGCGCCTGTGGACGAGCGGCCATACCGGCGCGGTGCGCTTCAACTCGTACCCCACGGCGCCGCCGCCGATGCCGGACCCCGCGCCGCCGCCGCCTGTGGTCGAGTGGCGCAGCGACACGCCGCTCTCGAGCATTGGGCTGCCGCACTACAAGGAGGCGCTGCTCAGCTGTCCCGACTACGAGACCCTGTGGAGCGATGCGAGTCCCCTCTTTACCATGCCCATGCCGCTCGACAGGAGCGTGCTGGAGCAGGCCGTGGACGTGCAGGGCATGGGCTATGCGCCGCTGCCCCGCCACTTGCGCGGCACACGCAACCAGCTCGCGGCCGCCGACCAGGTGCTGACCCGCTTCGATCGCGCCGGGAAGCTGAAGCCTGGCGCGGCGATGCGCCTGCGCAGTGGGCGCGGCACGCGCCGCGTGCGCGTGCCATTCCGCAGCGAGCAAGACGAGGGCGATGCGGCGCCCGAGGCGGACGATGCGTGGAGTCCGGCGGGCCGCGGTATGCCGGCCTACTACGCGCAGATGACGATCCAGTACAGCAAGTTTGGCGTAGAGGACTTTGACTTTGCCTTCTACAATAAGACGGCGTACTCGGGGCTCGAGACGAACATCAGCGCGGCGTACGCCAACTCGCTCCTCCAGGCGCTGCACTATGCGCGGCCGTTCCGCGCCTTTGCCAAGCGGCACATTCTTCTTGCGTGCACGGCCGACGACTGCCTCCTGTGTGAGGCCGGCTTCCTCTTCCGCATGCTCGAGGACGCGCAGGGCACCAACTGCCAGGCATCGAACCTGCTGCGCGTCCTTGCGCGCTCGCCGCAGGCCACCACGCTCGGGCTGCTCGACCATGGCGCACTGGATGTGCCATATGCGCACCTGGTGCAGCGCCTGCACCACTACCTGCTTGATCAGGCTTCGCAGCGCGCGCTGCGCACCGGCGCACTGCTCTCGCTCCCGCCCGCGCAGCTCGTGCTGTGCGCGAATCCGTGTGCGTGGTCGATGATGGTGCACAGCCAGTGTGGCGCATGTGGCCACACGGCGTCGCGGCAGCAGCTCTCGCACGCGGTGGACCTGCTGTACCCGCCGGGGCCCACGCGCTGGCAGCACGACCTGCCGGCGCTGCTGAGTCTGTCCATCTGCCGCGAGGTGCTGGCGAAGATGACGTGCCGGCAGTGCCAGACGGCGTTTGCGCCGCACAACACGTGGCGCACGCTCCTCTCGACCGATGCGCTTCCCGCGATGCTGTGCCTGAACGCGGGCGTGCTGGGCGCCGAGCAGCTGGCGTACTGGGTCCCGCGCGGATCGGGGCGGGGCTTCGTGCCGCCGCGCCTGGCGATGCAGGTCGACCGCGGGCATGTGCGGTCGGTCGGGCTGTGGGACGAGCAGGCGCCGCCGCAGGCGGCCGTGTACCTGCTGCGTGCGATGGTCGTGCAAGTGCAAGGCGCGTACGACGCGCCGCACCTCTGCACGTACGTGCGGGGGCCCGGCGCGGACCCCGACGAGTGGGTCCTGTTCAACGACTTCCTCGTGCGGCCGGTCGAGGAGGCCGAGGTGCTGCACTTTGGCGCGTCGTGGAAGATTCCCGCGGTGCTGGTGTGGGAGCGCATCGACAGCGCTGCGCAGGCGCATGCCGCGCAGCTGCGGGACCTGGCGCAGGCGCTGCAGCCCGATACGACGCTGCTGACGCGCGACTGGAACTTGGCGACGCACCGCAAGGCGGAGCTTGTGCGGCACCGCGTACTGACCGAGGACGAGCTGCCTGCACCCGGCACGCTGGTCGCGATCGATGCCGAGTTTGTATCGCTCGCGAACGAGGAGCTGGAGGTATTCTCCGACGGCACGCGCTCGCTCCTACAGCCAAGTCATCTCGCGCTCGCGCGCGTGTCGGTGCTGCGTGGCGAAGGGCCCGCGGAGGGCGAGCCGTTCATCGATGACCACATCCACACGACCGAGCCGGTGGTGGACTACCTGACGCAGTACTCCGGCATCCAGCGTACGTACACACGACTGACTCCAGCGGGCGACCTCGCGCCGGCCACGACGCAAGTCACGCTTGTGCCCCACAAGATTGCGTACAAGAAGCTGCGCCTCCTCGTCGACCGCGGGTGCCGCTTCATCGGCCATGGGCTCGCGAAAGACTTTCGCATCATTAGTACGTGCCGCTACTCACGCCCGATCTCTATGTGCCGCCCAGCCAGGTCATCGATACCGTGCAGCTGTACCACTCGCCAGCACACCCCCGCAAGCTGTCGCTGCGGTTCCTCTCGTGGTTCCTGCTGAAGCAGGACATCCAGCGGGGCCTCATGCTGGGCGACGGCAAGACCGAGGCAGTGCACGAAGGCCACGACTCGATCGAGGACGCGGACGCGGCGCTGCAGCTGTACCGCCGGTACCTCGTCTTTGAACGCGACCATCGCCTGGAAGACATGCTCGAGGACCTCTACGAGATTGGGCCACGCGTCCAGTGGCGCCCGCCCGACAAGTCATAGATACCTAGCTAGTCCGAGGCTTCGTGGCGGCGTCGTCGGCCCGTGGGCATCGAGTCGTCGTGGGCATCGGCCTCTGCCTGCAGATCGGCCAGCTCATCCGCGTCGATATCGAGAGCCGCCTCGTCCGAGTCGGTATCCGAGGCGGCCTCTTCCTCGGCAGGCGCATCCTCGGCGGCAGTGGCAGTGTCTTCGGCAGGCACATCCTCGGCGGCGGTGGCAGCGTCTTCGGCAGGCGCGTCCTCAGCGGCGGCGGCCGCCTCTTCGGCAGGCGCGTCTTCGGCAGCCTCTTCCTCCCCTTCATCCTCGCTCTCCACATACTCGACGCCCTCCATATCCAGCGCATCGACGGCCTCACGCATAACAAGGCGGCGGGCCATTTCGCGCTCCGTGAGCGGGCGGTGGCCCACAATGATCCGGTGCCAAAAGCCCTCGTACGGCACGAGGAGGCGTTGCTCCGCCTTGCGGGTACGGCGCAGGCGAAGGCCGTAGCGCATATCGATCGGGTGGTAGTACGCGACCTTGCGGCCTTCTGACGCGGGCGTCACCACATGCTGGCGCTCGCGCTCGCGTGCGGACTGCGGCGGCAGTGTCGTATCGACGTCCGGCGACTCGTCCGCCTCAAAGAGGTCGTCGTGCTGCATAGACTGCGCAAGGGTTTGGTCGACGTCCACGCGCGCCAGGTCCGGCGCAGCGTCCGGCTGCTGATCGTCCAGCACGATCGCGAGCAGGTGGTCCGTCGGGCCTGGCTGGTCGACCGGCTCGAGATCACGCACATGCCGGAAGCCAGTGCCATAGACATTCGAATCGCCCTCGGCCGCGGCGCCATCGAGCCATGGCACCTCGGGGAACACGCCCAGGCGGCGGCGCTTGCGGAACCGCGCGGCACCTAGATCCTCCCGCTGCTGCTGGGTCGCCTCGTCCCAGTCGTCGCTGGGTGGCGCCTCCTCTTCCCCGGGCGCATACGGCGGCAATGTGTCGGCACACGTCAGGTACAGCGATACACGCTGCTGGCCTGTCAGCGGATCGGTCACGGGGCGCAGGAGCGCAGCTCCCATGCGGGGATCGAGCGCCGGCTCGCCCTTCGCTGAGCGGCCGAGTACGCCAGCGAAGCGGATGATCTGGAAACTGGTGGCCCACGTCTCAGGGTCGGGAAGCACTTCATAGGCGTCCACGGCGTGCACGCCCGGCTTGCTGGGATGCGACAGCGACGATAGCGGCGTGTTGGCCGCTGCAAAGCCCTGCTCAATGCGCTCGATCTGCGCAGGCCGGGACGTGTCGAGCTGCGGCGCTGCATGCTTCGCATCCACGCCGCGCTGCTTGCGCTGCTCCGCACTGAGGTACTCGGTGCGCCGCAGCCACGTCACATTCGCGGCCTGGGCTTGCGCCTTGGCGAGGCCCTGGCCCTGGGCCTCGATGCCCGCACCCGCCTCGCTCGCGAGGTCGTCCGACAGGAGGAAAGCATCCTCGTCGTCGACCTGCTCCCAGTCGAGGGGCTCGGTCCACGCAGAAGCTGCCTGTGAGTGAGCGCTACGCACGTTGTGAACCATCGCCCATCCACAGGTGCTCCAGTTTTGCGAGGTCTAACGGCATGCCCGCCTCGGCATCGACCGTGACCGGCAGCTGGAGCGAGTCGGTCAGACGCAAGGCGAACGCTGGCGAGGTGTAGTTCGGCTCGGGCGCCGGCACCTGGACGAGCTTCGGGGGGTATGGCAGCTCCGGAAGCGGGTTTGGATACCGAACCCGCTCAATCAGGTCGCTACGGTCAGTACAATGTCACACATACCGCTTGCGTCGCGATGCCATGATGGTTCCCAGCGGGCGTCGTCGCGGCGCTGCTCGCCACGGACGGAGCGGTCGCGAACTATCACGTGACATTATCGGCGCGAAGCGCGAGATCCATGGCTGTGACACGAGAACGATGGGCGTACGCATAGTTCATGGCACATGCACAGAAAATCGCGCCGCCTCGATCACTAGTGCCATGTACCATTGCAGCGTATTTTATAGGAACGCCCCGTGACGTGCATTACGCGCAGCGCACGGCAGAGCCTAGAGTCCATATTGCGCTGGGGAAGTGGGCCAGCATAACGCCCCGCTGAATACGTCCATAAGGGAACGCTTTGGTACAAAGTGACAAAGAGTCCCACTGGCTAGAGGACCGCCCCAAGGGCCAAGGGTCGTGGGGTGGCTCCACGGTTGAGGCACGCAGTCCCCGACGACCCGTGGTCGTGCGGTACGGGCGCCGCGTCAGAGCTTGCCTAAGAGTGCACCTGGTTATCTACAGGATAGCCGAGCACAGGAGCCCCACCCTAGCCACAGAGGCAGAACGAGACGCACCACGTTCAGGGCAGCAGGACGACGCGTCGCCCCAGGGAGTGCGCCGCGACGCGTCGACCGACGCGGCACGTGCACGGACGGCGCGTGCGGCGCCACTCGCACCTTGAGCCACAGACTTGGCTCGCACGGCGTCGACGCCATGCTGCCAGGCGTGCCCGTCGTGGAGTCGGATGACGAGGAAGATGAGTTTTCACCGTTTGCGAAGGTGAAGCCGATGCCGGCGCCTGTGCCCTCTGCCCCGGCCGCGCCGCCGTCGAACGACCATGTCCCGGAGCCCCACGAGTTCGATCCGGATGCGATGGTGTCAGGTCTGCATGCCCTGTCGATGCACGCGGAGGATGGCCCCATACCACTGACGCCTCTCGACGTGTTCTGCAGTGTGCTGCTCGCCCACAACGAAGGCTTGTTTGCCGAGCACAGCGACCCGGTCGTGCGCATGACACGTGCATCGCAGACGATCCAGGCGGCCCTGGAGCGCAGTCACTACGACGTGGGGGCGGCGATGCAGGCGCTCCGGGACGCGCATGCAGCCGGCACGGATGTGGCCTCGGTCGAGACGCCTGCGCCCAGCGCCATGCGCGTGTGCCGCTTCTTTCTCGCAGGCGAGTGCCGGCGCAGTGACTGCCGCTTCTCGCACGATCTGAACAAGGCGCTGTGTCGCTTTTGGCTGCGTGGCCAGTGCCTCAATGACCCGTGTGGGTTCCTGCACGACTATGATGCGCTATCGAAGCTCGCGCAGAGCATGGTCGTGGCGCCGGCGGCGCCGGCGCCAGCCCCGGCGCCCGAGCCTGTGGCGCCGCGGCCGCGGCTCGCTGCGTCGCAGAGTCCGTGGGCGATGGCCGCCAAGAGCGCACCGCCAGTGCGCACGCCCAAGCCGGCCGCGGCGCCAGCGCCGGCCGTGCGGGCGGCGAGTCAGAGCGCGCGCGTACCGCTGCGCCCGCCGAGCCTGCTGCCTACGCTCGCCACGGGCCACGTGCTGGCCATGGACACGAACAAAATTCGCGCGGCGCAGCCCAAGACGCAAGATGCGTGGGCCACGACGCAGGTGCTGCTGCGCGAGCGGCATGCGCGCATCAGCGAGCAGCTGCAGGTCGCGGCTGGCGGCGATGCGGGCGGGTGGGGCAGCAGTGCGCAGGCGAGCGAGGAGCCGGGCGCGCGCGGCCTGCGTGGCCGCTGGATCGGCGGAGGACTGGGCCTCTGCCTGGGTGTGGCGCGGCGCGCGACGGCGGGGCCGGCTCTCTCGCTGGACGAGCGGACCGAGGCGATGCTGGACCTGCACGGGCTGCATGTGAGCGAGGCGCTCGAGGCGTGCGAGCAGTTCCTGCTCGCGCTCCCTGCCGAGGGCTTCCGTGGCCTGTGCTACCTGTGTGTGGGCGCTGGCAAGCACAGTGCGCGCACGCGGGGCAAGCTGAGCACGCAGGTGCGCGAGTTTCTCACGAGCTGGGGCTATCCCCATGCCGAGTACGACGGCGTGATTGCGTGTGATCCGTGTACGCATTGGTAGCTACATAAATGCGGCCTGTCCGCGGCGGGCCAGCTCAATGATCTTCCAGCCGCCGGTGACTTCGTTTTCGACCTCCTCGGGCAGCCGCGTGAGCACCATGGCGTAGCGGCACAGGTTCGCCTGCTCGATGCTGCCCTCGACGATCTCGCCCGTCTTGGGGTCCTTGAAGTACATGAGCTCCTGCGTCTGGAAACTGATCACCAGCACCGGCATCGGCCCCGTCTCGAGGATCTTGCCCTGCACGATCTCGATGCTGGACAGGTCGAGGATGCGCCCGTCGGCGATGTAGCCGCGCTGCAGGTACGGATCGAGCGTCGCCATGAGCACGTTGTACGTCGCCTCACCGCACCACTGGCGCAGCAGGTGGCGCGCGGCGCCGTGGTACGCGTCGAGCACCTCGGGGATCACGTACTCGCGCAGCTCAATCGTGAAGCCGGCGAGCGTGAACTTGGGGTCGATCTCCTTGAACGCGCGCACGACCTGCGCCGTCTCGTTCTCCTCGAACCACGACGCGACGCGGTTCGTCACGCCACGCAGGCGCTCGATAAAGGGGTGCTCCGAGTCCTGGTACTGCTCGTGCAGGTCCGCGAGGCGGCGCATGATCGGGCTCTCCTGCTTGAACCGGTCCCAGCGGCTCGCCTGCGCCGACTCGGGCGCCACGACCAGGTCGCCGCCCGCCTCGGTGTCCTCCAGCACGCGGCGGCTCTGCACCGCGTAGCCACCGAGGCGCTTGCGCCCCGCGGCCGGCGCCGCCTGCGGGGGCGCCTCGCCCGCCNCGCCCGCCGCCTCCGTGCCAGCGGCCTCGCGGCCGGCCGCCTCGCCGGCGGCGGCCGCCGCCGCCACGATCGGGTCCACCGGCGCCGCATCGACGTCGCCGACCGGGGGGCTGCGGCCGATCTTGCGCAGCCGCATTTCGCGCTTGATGCGGCGCGCGTCCTGCGCACTCGTGCCATGCGCCAGGCGGATGTCGATGGCCGACGACCCATCGTCGAGCGCCTCGTTGATCGTTTCCGCAAACGCCTTGTACACCTCCGTGTTACGCACGGGCGCCGTCGAGTCTTCAATCTGGCGGCGCAGGCGGCTGGACATGGCGCTGAGGGAGCGCATCAGCTCGCTGTCCTCCATCTGGCGGAGCGTCGCGCCGATGGCCGAGCTGACCTGGCCGCCGCTCTTGCGCAGCTGCTCGGCCGCGGCCTGCAGGCGGGGATTGTGCTTGATCGACGAGATGATGCGTGCGCGCTCGTACGCCTCGCGCGCCTTGCGCATCGTCTCCGAGTCCTGGAACTTCTCCGACTGGCCCTGCAGCTGCTTCAGGTTGTCCTGGAATTCGCGCGACTTGACCAGCTCCGCCCGCAGCGTCTCGACAAACACCTGGAACGGCGAGCGAGGCACATCGAAGCGCCTCGCCGAGGCATGCAGTGCACGCACACGCGGCGCGCGCACCAGCGCAGCACGCGCGATCGGCAGGCCCGCAGCGTTCTTCATGCGAGCAGGGTCGCCACTCGCGGCGGCGCCGCGCTCGGCGAGGTCTTCTCGTCACGTGGACTGCACGTGAAGCGGTCCCTGCGCCGCGCCCGCGGCGGCGCCGAGGCGTCGTGCACGATGGCGTGGGCGCGCTGGGGACAGGCGCTGCACCGCTCGATGGCGGCGCTGCGCAACGAGACGGCGCGCATTATGCGTATGGAAGTTACGTCTGAGCGCGCCGAGGGGGCGCAGCTGCTGTACCGCATCGCGACGCCCCAGGATGCGGCGCAGGTCGCCACCGGCTCCGACTCGGACATTGGCGGGCTGTCGCGGTGCCAGTTCTCGCTCGAGAGCGAGGCACGGGACGACGGCGCGCCACGAACGTTTGGGCGCTTCTACGGCACGATTAGCTCGCAGATTCCGCGCGGCTCGCGACTGGAGCGCAGTGGGTACGCGGCGTTCCGCAATGTCAAGCGGCCGCGGCTGTTCAGCGTCGAGGGATGGGACACGACGATGCACCCGTATCTTGCGGTCAAGGTGCGCAACCGGCTGGCACGCGCGGCCGAGCCTGGCGCCGGCGCTGGCGCCGGCAGCGGCGCAGGTGCCGGCGCAGGCGCGTCGCTGCGTGCGGCGCTGCAGACCCAGGACGGCACAGGCAGCACGCTGGCGCGGGCCGTCGAGGCGCTGGGGTGCCATGCGGATGGCACGGCGACCGCCGCGCCGCCGCTGCTGTATGTGAATGTGCAGACGGACGGGCCGGTGACGACCGACCTGTACCAGCACCGCCTGCAGCTCGACGAGCGTGTCGGCCCTGACGAGTGGCAGACGATCACGATCCCGCTCGATGCATTTGTGCTGACCAACACGGGCGTGGTCTCGGACGTGCAGGTGTCGATGCTGCGGGAAAAGGTGCTCACGGTCGGCCTCAGTGTGCTTATGGAGCCGCCGCAGCTGCCGGCAGGCGCAGCGCCGGCGCCCGCGGAGCCGGCGGTGCGTGCGCTGCGGCGCACGGGCACCGGCGCCGAGGACGCACCGCCGGTGCGGGGGCACAAGCGGCATGCCTCGCTCCCCTTTGATTTGGATGTGGCCGGGGTATGGGTCGTGGCGACGCCGGCCGAGGCCGCGCGCCTGTAGATGCTACGTAGCCGAGGGGCGCCACTGCGTCATGTCCGCGTACGCGTTGTCGTCCGTGTCGGGCATATGCTCGAGGCTCGCGAGGAGGGCCTTTTGGCTGATGCCGCGCGTGGGCTTTGCCTCGGTGGCGGCGGGCGCCGGCGCCGGCCCAAACAGGTCGAGGATGCGGTCCGTGTCCATCTGCTCCATCGACTTGTTCTGCTGTGTGACGACCGAGTTCGCAATGTTCAGCTTGAACTGCTGCAGGCCCATGATCTTTGCCTCGACCGTGTTGCGCGTGATGAGGCGGTACACGTTGACGACCTTTTTCTGCCCGAGGCGGTGCGCGCGGTCCATGGCCTGCAGATCCTTCATCGGGTTCCAGTCGTGCTCGACAAAGATGACCGTGTCGGCCCCCGTGAGCGTGAGACCGAGACCGCCGACGGACGTCGTGAGCAGGAGCACGTCGATGCTGGGGTCCGCGTTGAACGTCTGCACAATGCCGTGGCGCTTGTCGCTGCTGACGCTGCCGTCGAGGCGCAGGTAGGTGACGGACGGCATGAGCGTCTGGAAGAGCTCCTTCTCAATCACATCGAGCATCTGCTTCATCTGGCAGAACACCAGGACGCGGTGCTGCGACACGGAGGCGCCCGTGTCGGCGCCCACAAGCGCCGCATCGTTCGCCGGCGCCTCCTTGCCGATCCCGCAGTCGAGCAGCAGCTGCCGCAGCGCCTGCAGCTTCGGCGCGTGGCTCAGGCCCGCCAGCGTGCCGCGCTGCGCCTGCACCTGATCGAGCAGCTTCTTCTGCGCGGGCACGTGGGGGTCGAGCACGAGCGACGGGTGGTTCGCGAGCTTGCGCAGGTACTGCAGCGTTTGGAAGACGTGCTGCTGCGCGGGCTCGGCGTCCTCGTCGGCGTCCGCGGGCGTCTCGCCGCGCGCGAGCGCCGCCTCCACGTCGCGCCGCGCCTGCGACTGCACAAACTCGTCGTAGAGCGTCTTCTGCACGTCGCTCAGCTCGCACTCGACGTCCTGGATGATCTTCGGCGGCAAGTCGCGGAGCACATCCTCTTTCAGGCGGCGCAGGAGGAACGGCACGATCTGCTTGTGCAGCGCCTCGAGCGCCAGCGTCGCGGCCTCCTTCTCCGCGGCGCTCGGCTTCCCGGAGCGGCACGCCAGCACCGGGCGCGCGAAGCGCTCGTGGAACGACTGGTCCGTGCCGAGGAAGCCCGGCATGAGGAAGTCGAACAGGCTCCACAGCTCCAGCACATTGTTCTGGATCGGCGTGCCGGACAGAATGAGCCGGTGCTGCGCGCGGATCTGCTTCACCGCGCGCGTCGTCTTTGTCTTCGCGCTGCAGATCACGTGGCCCTCATCCAGCAGGCAGTAGTGCCACGCGCGCGGCGCGAGCCACTGGATGTCGTTGCGCACGACGTCGTACGACATGACCACCGCGTCGCACTCGTCGATCTGCGCCAGGAGGCGCGCGCGCTCGCTGGGGTGGCCCGCGTACAGCAGCGGCCGCAGGTTCGGCGAGTACTGCTGGATCTCGTGCACCCAGTGCCCCGTCAGCGTCGGCGGGCACACGATGAGCGAGGGGATCGGGCGTGCATCGGGCGCGCGCGTCGCCGCCCAGCGCTGCGCGCGCTCCCAGTGCTGGCACGAGAGCAGCGTGATCGACTGCAGCGTCTTGCCGAGACCCATATCGTCGCACAGGATGCCGTGCAGCTGGTACCGCGCGAGGAACGTCATCCAGCTCACACCCTCCAGCTGGTACGGCCGCAGCTGCACCTTCATCTCCACGGGCGGCGTGTAGGGCTGCACCTGCGAGCCGTCCAGCAGCTGCGTAAGGAACGCCTTCTCCGTCTCGCGGCGCGCGAGGAGCGCCGGCGAAAAGTGCGGCGGGTCCGGCAGTCCGTGGATCAGCGGCACGAGCTTGACCAGCTCGGCAAACGTGTTCGTCGCGAGCAGCCGCACCGACTCGTGCGGGTCGCTCATACGGCCCAGCACCGGCACCACGAGGAACAGCACGTACGGCAGCACGCGCTCGTCGGGCGTGCGCACCGTGCACGACACGACCTCCATCGCGCCCTGCCGCCGCGGCAGGTCCGCCGCGCCGAGCAGCGGCACCACATCCTCGACGAGCCGGTGCATCGCCTCGTCGACGAGGCACGTCGCGAGCACGCTGAAGCAGCGCGCGGCGGCCGCACGCACGACCGTGTACTCGCTCTGCGCCACACGCACGAGCGCGTCCAGGAGCGGCACAAACGACGCATGCAGCGCCGCGTCGACGTGCGGCGCGACACTCTCGAGCACCGCGCACACATCGAGCACCGCCTGGCCCTGCTCGTCGCTCCACGCGCCGCGCGTCTCGGGCGTGAGATCGAGCAGGGGCTGCGCCGCGCGCGCCCACAGCATCGGCACGCGCTCCCACGTCGCCGCGCCGAACTGCGCGCAGATCTGCTGGAGCGCCGCCTGCGCACCGCGGCGGATGAGCTGCTCCGGCGTCATGCGCTCATCGCGCACCGCGCCGGCCGCCGGGCGCGCGCCGAGCGCCTGCAGCGCACCGATCCCTTCGTGCGCATGCTTCTCCTGCGCGAACAGCGGCGTGTGCGCCGTGTCCTGGCACACGAACGCGCACAGATTCTTGACCACCTTGTCGCTGGGGTTCGCCGGCGCACCGGGGCGCGTGCACAGCGCGAGGAAGCGCGCGAGCGCCAGGGCCGCGCGCTGCTGCAGGTCGGCATTCTCCTCGTACTTGATGCTGTTCATCAGGCTGCGGATCAGCGGATTCAGCTTGGGCGGCAGCACGCCCCACGCCACGACGGCGCCCGCGACGGCAGCGAGGACAAGCACGTCCTCCGTCTCCTTGGTCGTTTCGTAGCGCTCCACCGCGAGCGAGAGCTTGCGCCGCAGGTCGCCGACGCTCGGCGCGTCGGCGGCCCGCGCCGCCTTGTCGAGCAGCGCGCGCACGTGGTCCATCGTGAGCGCCGCGGCCTCCGGGACCGCCAGCTGGGCGTCCGGCACGGCGCGCGCGACGGCCTGCGCAAGCAGCTGGCAGTCGTGGTGGATGCGCTGCCGCAGGAGGCGCATCTCCGCGTACACCGGCGGCATCGTCGCGTCAAGCAGGCCCAGAAGCACGCCGTGCATCTGCGCCGCCTGGGCATGCGTGCCAAGGAACGCCGGCGGATCGTCCACCTGCTCGGCCCACCGCTGCGACACGACCGCGCACAGACACGTCTGGAGCGCGGACGCAGACTGCAGGCCCTCGCACAGGCGCGCGCACGCCGCGTCCTGCGCCGGCAGCGCCTGCGCGAGGAGGTCGCCGAGCGCCGACGCCGCCTCGAGACGCCCGCGGATCACGACGTCGACGCCGACGAGCGTGAGGTCCTGCGTGAGGATGCCGCGGTCAATGTCGTGCTCCGAGTGCGCGCGCGGCGGCGTAAAGAACAGCGACGTGTCCATGGGCGTGCCGATCGGCGTGAGCACCAGCTGGAAGAGCGCAGGGATGTGCGGCGCCACACACGCGCCGAGCTGCGCGCCGAGCGCGCGGAGCGCGAGCGCCCACACCTGGGCGGTCGCCTCGCGGATCGCCGGGCGCTCTTCGACGAGCAGGTTCTGGTACAGGAGGCGCACGAGGCGGTCATCGAGCCAGGCGCGCGAGAGCGACGGCGCCTGCAGGAGCGCGTGCAAGGCATGCAGCATCGCGAGACGCACATGCGTGATCGTGTGCCGCACGAACCGGAAGAGGGTCGGCACGCGCTCCACGAGCAGCGACGAGTCAGCGGCGCGCACGACGTCCGGCTGCGCGATGAGCGCGGCGAGCAGGTCCATCACGCTGGCCGCACTGCTCGACAGGTCGTCGCGCCGGGCGCCGACGCACGTCCACAGCTGGTCCAGCAGGGCCGGCATGCGCGCGAGCTGGTGCGCGACGAGGTTGCGCGTGATCGGCAGCAGCATGGCCGCGGCGACCGCGCGGACGTCGTCGTCGTCGTCCCGCAGGCCCAGCTGCGCCACGTCGAGCACATCAGCGAGCATGTCGTCCTCGACACCCAGCACGTCGACCCGCATCGCCACCTCGTACTTGATGCCGAGCAGGCCGGCGTGCCGGACCTCCCACACGTACGCGCGCTGCCCGGGCTGCCCGACGAGGCCGGCCGCGCGCACGTGGTCCTGGCGCACCATCTCGAGGAGGACGTGGTGTGTGCTGCGCACGAGCTCGCTGCTCATGTGCGGGAGGAGCTGCGCGAGTGTCTGGGACGCCGTCTCGCGCACGGGCGCCACGACATGGTCAAACACAAAGTCGCCGAGGCGGTCGAGCGCAAAGACGCACAGCAGGCGCACCGCCAGGTCCTCGCACCACGCGTCGTGCGCGCGCGCATTGTCCGCCGGCGACGCACCGCACGTCTTGCCGCCGCCCGCGCCCTGCGTGCGGAACAGCTCGCGGAGGCCGAGCGCGGCGCCATGCCGCGCCTCCCACGTGGGGCTGACGAGCTCGACGCTCAGCAGCTCCGCGAGCGCGCGGAACGGCCAGGCGCCGCGCGGCACCTGCAGCGAGAGCGCGGCGGCCGCCTGCGTGGGGGCCCGCTCGCCCTCGAGCTTGACGCGCTTCTCGGGCTCGGCGTGCACGGGCGCGCGCGCCTGGGTCTTTGCCTCGAGCTTGCGCTTGCGTTTCAGCTGGTTGCGCTCGCGCGCGCTCAGCGGCCGGTTCGGCGCCTCGGGCGCGGGCGGCGCCTCGGGCGCCGCTGGGATGCTGGGCTTGCGCTCCGCCGGCGCGCCGAGCTCGGCGTCCATGTCGAGGCCCATGTCGACGTCCGTGCCGCCGAACGCGAGGCCCAGCTTGCCGAGCACGTCCTTTTTGGCGCTCTGGAGGCGCTCGCGGCTGAGCAGCTCGGGCACGTCGTACTCGCGCCCGGCCGACGCGAGCAGCTTGGTGCCACTCGCGAGGACGGTCGGGAGCGAGAAGCTCGCGAGCGTGAGGCGCTCGCCGGGCGGGAGGCCGAGCGGCGTGTCTGGCGC